CAACGTTCATTGAATAAACCCATAAATAAAGAATTTCCTAAAGATGCAAAAAATAAAACAAATAAAATAACAACAGCAGTAGATTCAAAAATGAATTTTAATGACTCTATCAATGCTTCAATCATCCTTTATAATCCTAAGTAATATATTTCTAATACCCTCAAATATTGCTCCTAATTATTTTAATAATCTCATCATTCTTAGTGGTGTTATATTTATTATAGATTTAGTGTAAGCTAAATGATAATAAAACATAACTATTAAAAATGTATCAATCACTCTTCCTAGAAATATAAATTTAGATCTAAATAACCCAAATGCAAATAATTGAAGAACAATATCTACAATATATAACCATAGAAAAACTATATTATTAGTGTTATCTTTACCAAAATTAATTGCAATTAAGCTTTAATCAGCATAATTTAAATGTTCATATATAAATAAAATGATATTTCCTAAAGTCACAAATGTCAATAGATATTAATATATTCTAGATCTGACTATTATTTTGGATAATCTTTTTGTTGTCAAATAAAAATAAGCTACAATTTTTCTTAGTATTAATAAAGAATAGGCATCCTCATAAGAACTCTCCATTAATTTTTATTTTTACATAAAGTAATTTGTACTTGGAGAAACTTCTCATTTTCCTGAACTTTATATGTAATGCTCCATTAACACTGCTCAATTTTTAATAGATTTTCCCATAGTGATTTTAAAGCTTACTTAATTAATCAATTTCAATCTACAATATTCTTAGATTTTTATACTTCATTTGATGATTGAGATTATTCTGAAACAGACAAATGACTGAATCCAGCAAAAGCACTATGGAAATTCGATATTCTACGCTTTACATTAGTTGTCTATTGTAAATAATAAACTTACACTTAGATCTACATTTGGAATCTAAATTGAAGATTCTGGTGTCCCTGGTGATTAAATATCTTTTATTGATCTAGTAGGTATTAGATTTTATGCTTAAATCACTTCAAGACTTATTATTGAATTATCTGATTTATCCGACTTATTATCTTCTTTGGCTAAGTCCGAAAATAATTATGATAAATGATCAGAATTCTCTTCATCACTTTCATATTCACTGCTGTCCTTATAAGGCTAGACATACATCTGTGCAGTTGCTTATTCTGCTATTCGGTCAAGCATCTTTTACTATATTTCTTCCCTATTGTTATGAATTAAAGTACTGTTTCTGCTACGTCATTTGAGTGTCAGCTTTTCTCAGTATTGTTTGGTATTATTATATCAGGTTTTAAGTCAAATCCTTTATGTTGTTTTTCTGCCTCTTAGAAGACTTTGATTTTATAGTTTTTGCTGATCTTATGCTAGATTTTGAGCTTTCTGATAAAACAGATTTCTAAAATGAATCATCGCTATCCGATTCTGACTCAGAACTATGCTACACCTTTTAAGGTGCTTTATTAATTTGAAAAAGTTCTTAGTTGTCAAGTACATTGCCTTTTTTTCTTGTCCCTTTGCTCACTCTTGAGGATTTAAGTTTTTTGTCCCCTTATTCAGCTGATGAAAACAAATGATTATTCTTTCTAACAACAATTGTTTTAGAAGGATATTTCTTTCTTGGAAATGGGGATTACATAATTAAAATAATAAATGGATTTCATTAAAATGTTGTAATCAATTTTAGAAAAGGCTTTTATGTATTATAATTAAAATTAATATATATAATCATTCAAAATTTGAGGATTTCACATGATTACCTTAAATATTATATTATAAAAAACACTCAACAATTAATATTCTAAAAATAACTAATTCATAATCTATTAATTATAAATTATTTTATTGTTAATTTTTATCATTTATCGAATAAAAAGGAAATGAATCAATTATATATGAAATGATCATACTTATTGCATTTATATTCCTTAAGGATTAGTCTAAAAATAACCACTTTTTACTTCATCAATTAATAAAATTAGAATTCTTTATCAAGACTTTATATTATAAGCTTGTAGGTTTTATTCTAAGTATCACTTGTTCCCTAGAAATACAACAAAGTTAATCAATTATCACATAAATAAATAGAAATTTTTTAGTATTTTTGTTATTTATGGTTAGTTTATAATTAATAAGCATAGATCTAGATTTAGAACAAAAGTGATAGTTTTTGTAAGGTGATATTAAATTTGAAGAATGTAATTTAGAAAGGTTATTTATAATAAGGAATTGTAATTAGACTTGGGAAATAAGTTGAAATTTTTAAAAAAGCTTTAGTTTTTTGATCGATCATTATTAATTACTTAGCTTAATATATCTAATTAACATAACTAGATTTTTTTTACAGAAGCTAAATTAATAGTGATTTGTCTCTTATGCTAGCTATAGTGAGTTCTGTCAAAGGAGAGTACTTAGATAATTAGAAATTGTAATTTAAATTGATATTTTAAAATTTTGAATGCAATATAATAAAATCTTCAGAAATATTTACAATAATTTATATAACACTAAGTAATCTAGAATTTTAAGGTTAGTGGAATTGAATTGAGCATAATGAAAATCAATAAACATAATTATCAATATAATTATTTTTACATGTATATTACTGAAATTTTGAAATATTTGTCAATAATTAAATTTCTGATTAAAATTAATTAAAAAATCATTATTAATTAAGACAATAATTAGAAGTTTTAATTGAATAGATATTTTGAAAATTAGATTAAATAAATTATAAAAAAAGGAGAATTAAATTGGTGATAAATTTAGAGAGATATACCAGATGATATTAATTAACTTGTATTAAATGAAGTTTAAAAGGCATTTCAATTTTTTAAATGATTAAAAAGAATATTTTTAAACTGAGATTTATTATATTTGATTAGTCAGTATTTTTTGCATTACATTAAGTACTTTTTTAATATAATAACTATATTATTAAAAATATAATTAATGTCTTCAATATTAGAATCTTCAAAAGGGATTATTAAAGAAGCAAGGTATTAAATAATTTTAGAAATTAGAGAATTTGCATATTTAGGAAAATATCCAGAAGCAATCATGAAATTCAAATCATAAATTGAGACATTAAGTCAATAATTGGGAAAAAATTAAGGAGATTAGTTACTATTTCAAGAATGGAGTAAACTAGTGAATGACATAAAAGAAGAATTAGATTTAACTCAAACATTATTTGACTTTACAAAAGGCAATTCTAATAGTAATTTTTGAAATAATAAGATAGATTAGCAATAACCATCTCCTTAAAAACCTAAAGTTGTTTAAGAGTGTCCTGAATTTCATGATGATAATCGATAGCCTCGATTGCCATTTAATTAAATACCATTTTAGCATCATCATCATCGAGAAAATACTTCTCCATCTTAAAAAGCCAATTAATTTTAAGTATCACCTCCAAAATAGAAAGCATAAGATCCAGATGAAATTTTCTTTGGTGGTTTAAGAGGAGGTAATGATGGTAAGAGAGCTAACAATAATAATAATAATAATAATAACAATAATAATGGCAATAACTTAAATAATAATCCAAGCAATTACTTCAATAATAATAACAATAATAATAACTATAATAAGCGTCCTGTCAATAATCCTCCTCCAAAAGATCCTGATGTATGGGATCCCCCTTCTAAAAAGACAGATAAACCAAAACAATCTCAAAAAGATGCTAAAGCAAATAATATTTTTAAACCTTAGTCATAACCTTAACCTTAGACAAAAGGTAATTAAAGAAGAGAATATGATAAGCCATGGAAAAATAATGCTGTTGGTGAAAAGAAGCCTATTGAGGGTTAAAGAAAAACATTTCATGATCATGTTTATCCAGATGGAAGAGGTCCAGATAGTGATTTAATTTAAATGATTGAAAGGGAGGTTTTAGATCTAACACCAAATGTTTCATTTGAATAAATAGCAGAATTAGAATTAGCTAAGGATACTCTTTAAGAAGCAGTCTTACTTCCAATATTTATGCCTCAAATATTTACTGGAATTAGAAGACCTTGTAAAGGAGTATTATTATTTGGTCCTCCAGGAACAGGAAAAACAATGCTTGCCAAAGCTGTTGCTACAACTGGTAAAACAACATTCTTCAATGTTTCTGCATGCACTTTAGCAAGCAAATGGAAAGGAGAATCTGAAAAATTAGTTAGATTATTGTTTGAAATGGCTAAATTTTATGCACCTAGTACAATCTTTTTTGATGAAATTGATGCTTTAGGTTCTAAAAGAGGAGATAATGATGGAGATTCAGCAAGAAAGTAAATTCAATTTATAATTATAGAGTTAAAACTTAAATGTTAATAGAAATGGATGGAGTATCTTGTGCTAGTACTGGAGAAGAAAGAAAAACTGTAATGTGTTTGGCAGCTACTAATCGTCCATGGGATTTAGATGAAGCTCTTATTAGAAGACTTGAAAGAAGAATATGTAAAATAATAAAATTATAGTAGATATTCCTTTACCTAGTGTTTCAGGTAGAAAAGTACTTTTCGAAATAAACTTAAACTCGTTAAAATTATCACCAAATATCAATTGGGATTAATTAGTTATAAAAAGTGAAGGTTATTCAGGAGCAGATATTGCAAATGTTTGTAGGGAGGCATCGATGTTGCCTATGAGAAGAAAATTAAAGGAAGAAGGAGGATTCTAAAAATTATAGTAAAAATATGAAGACATTTCAAGTATTAAAAATAATTAATTTTTTAGATGTTGTTGATGTACCTTTAGAATAAAAAGATTTTGATGAAGCATTAAAGATAGTTAATAAATCTGTTTCATCAGAATATCTAAAAGAATATGATAATTGGATGAAAGACTTTGGTGCTGGTTGATATTTTAAATTAATCATTTAGTAATTTTATAAAAGAAATTTTAGGTTTCTTATTCTTTGATAAATAAATATTATTGTACTTGTTTAATTTTTTCATTCTAATAAGATTTATAATTGTAATTAAGATCTTTAATTTAAATAAAAAAAATGAAAGTATTCAAGTAACTACTCATTTTGGTATATATTCTGGAAATAGTTCTTGTAATAATTATTATGGATCTTAATAGTTGGTGAATGAACTCACTTTTAATAATTAAGAATTCAATTCTCTAACATCAGTTACTGCCCTGAATTTCATTAAGTAATTTTATAGATAGAGCAATTCCTTAAAGTAATTATTAAAAATAAATTACCTAATCTTATTTATTATCATAAAAAGCAATAATAGGAACACCATTGTCAATTTATTGTCCAAATGAATAACTTGCATTATCAATTAATAAAATATTTGACATTTTTCTATTTCCAAGTACTCTATAAATTAAAATAGAAATTTCACCTTAAATCTTTTACATAAGCTCCTTCATCAGTTTATTAACAATGTTCTCTAAATAACCTATGAGAGATCCATTGTTTCTTTGGATCTAAATAATCCAAAACAATATTAGCATAACATGAATGAGATGCAGTAAAAACAATGATTTCAAAATGTCGAGACAAAGTTTAAAGGATCTATTAAGCATAAGGTCTAATATTGATTGAAGCTTAAATTGTCTCTCCAGTAGGAAATGTAATTGGTAAAATAATATCACCAGGAACAGAAGTACTTTCATTACAATGAATTAAAGTTTCATCTAAATCAAATACTAATGTTTTAAATTAATTATTTTTAGGTAAATTAATAATTTTATCTTCTTAGAATTCTAATGATAAATTTCTAGCATATTCTAAACCCTAATATATAAAGAAAGTAATTACTTATATAGTTTATATTATATGATCTCTAACAACTTCATCTGTTTTATTTATTTACTATATAAATATGGATCTCACAACACTAGATATATAGTATAGAAACTAAGATAAAGAATAAGAATACATGATCATCTTTGGTAGGTTTTTGAGATGAATAGGATTTATCATTAATTATTGATTTGGTTACTTAATTAAATGATTAATTAATCTCTAAAGATTGATGTCTATTTAATGATGATTATTATTAGATTGGTTTTTTTGGTTATTTAACTTATGTAACAAATTAATCTAAATTGATGCTTGATTCATTTTATTCTTTTATTACTTAACTTTATTTTAATGCTTTATTTAATTGTATATTTAAAGTAGTTGAACATTTAGTTAATTCTTTAGGAGTTTTTGATTCTTTTGGTTCATTATTTTCTTGATCTTTTTTTTGAAAAAATTTAGCTGCTAAACCAAGAGGCTTTTGTTTTGATCTTTCAGATTATTTTTATAATTAAGAATTGCTTATTTCTATGTTAGATTTAATTTTATTGATTTTATTCTCCAAGAATTACAATTTTTCATGTAATTTTTGATATTCTTATTGATCAATTTATTTACTTTGTAATTATTGATCTGACAAACATTTAATTAAATTAGTATCTGGTGTCTATTTTTATGAAAAATATCTAGATTATGGAGTTGCTTGTTATGGTTAAATGTATGTTGAACTTTTCAATTCTTTGAATGAAGATCTACATGGTTATTTCTAATTTGAAAAAGCCCTTTTATCATTAGAAACTGAAGATGGTCTAGGAACTGCTTAAATGGATGGTTGTCTAGGTTATGATGAATTAGGACGTATCTCAGGTTTTTGAAGAACTTAAGTAGATTGATATTAAGGATATGCTTAGATGGGTTTTCGTTTTTGATATTGATTAGAGGTATTTTCATTATCTAGAGTCTATTTGAATGTTTGTCTAAAAGAATCTTAAATTATCGGTCGTTGAATATATTGTGGCACTCGTTGCATTCAATTTAAATTTTGTTAAATTAAAAAAAAAGTCTGTTTAATTAAAATATGTTCTCAGATTCTCCCTAATTTTTTTGTGGCCAATAATTTAACATACATCTAATGAATTTTCTCTCTATATTGATAATTATGATATTAATAGTATGATAAGCCAAGCATCAAACCTAAGATACCACTTGTGAACATTTCTCCATAAAGTTTCTTATGTAATGGTCTAGAATTAATAAAGTAAAGCATTGAAAGAGTTGATAAACCAAACCCAAATAATGCACCAATAGTAGTCTATTCTGATAGTACTTTATCTGCTTAATTAAAATCATATTATTCATCAACTGTCATCAGAATAAAATTATTTTTGAGGAATTACTAAATAATAATGTGATATATAAGTACATATTTTTTACTTGGTATGGCTTAGCTTGAAACTAATCTAGTACGTTAAGTTCGACCTGAAAATTTTACAAGTTTATCTAAATATTGTTTTTATTCTTCTGTAAAGAATTCATATGGTATTTCTGGAGTTTTCATTAATAAAATAATTTAAATCAGAAATTCAATTTTTTAGGTGATATTTTTTATATTGATTTCAAATGTTCGCCTAATTTTGGAGTTGATATTTTTAGAGAATTTACAAATATTTTAGTTTCAGTTTTATTTATCTATATTGATTTATCTTGAATTTTATATTCAGATTTTATTTCATTAACAATTTTCAAACAATCATTTTACTAAAAAAATAAATAAATAAATGTTATACATTTTTAAATGTGTCAAAATAGATTTCTTTATTTTTTTATATATCCATAATTGAGAGCTTATAAGCATTTATTCCAACTGGCTTCAATATTTAAGTTACATAATAATTATGCAAACTTGATTTAGGCATTTGTCTTAATGGTACATTAGTTGTATCTGTTGATTTTATTAATTTATAATTATCAACTTAAGTATTAGCATCTTCTATATCAACACTAGTTGATAACATTTTAAAAGCCTCTTACTTTAATTTCTTATACATCATTCTATTGTAACTGTAATCATATGGTCTTTCTACACTCTTACTTTTAATTTCTGTTACTTCAATTGGTCTATCCAATGATTTCCTTAATAGATTTTCATATATCCTATCTTTTTTATTTATTTGTGTAATTTGATCATGAAATCTTATAACTTCTTGTTCTGCTAAATATATAATTGATTCAATAATCGTTAATAAAGTATCTTATGAAGATGGGTAGATATTAATTTATTCCATTACATATGATTTAGCCTCCATGATTCTTACCATAGTAAATTAAGAAGTTTTAGCAAGATATTGAGAGTTGAATAATTGTAAATGAATATATTTTAAATCTTGAGAATCGAATAAAGTTTGATAAGCAAAAAGGAGACGACGATTATTAATATTCTAAAGCTCTTCTATAAAAAAATTAAGTGAAATATTTAACACAAGCTTCTCTATATCTTTCCAAATTTTTATTATCATATTTTAATGAATTTGTTTTTACCAAAATAATATATTTTATAGTTTAAATCCAAATTCATAATATAGAGTGTTAGTATTAAATACTATAATTAATTTAATTGTATATTTAGTATATAATATAATTTAATAACTATTATTTAATTTCTAAGAATTAAGCATATGCATACACTTACATATATATATGTATTTATCATTTTTTTTTGCTCAAGAATTTGGTCAATCCAAAAATCAATGGCTATAAAACCAAGGATAAAATGAACCATTTTTTATAGCTATCATATGTAATTTTTTATTTCTTCTATTCATTTCCTTATTTTTTTTATTCTTTTTCTTCTTCTAATTATTGAATTTTATTTTCATATGTTTTGATTAAACGTTCAGTTTCTTTTTACACTACAGAATTCAAAAGATTATATTCTTTTTCTTATTCCTAAATGTGAAGATTACGATCAAACAATTTTTGTTTTAATTTTTGATACTCTTCTTTAACTTTCTAATACTTCCTATCTAATTCATTAAATTTGCTAGTTTATTATTTTTTATCAACAATAGAATCATTAATATAGACATTTAAAGAATCTATCTCAGAAGTTAAATTGGCGATTAATTTATTTTTATCTTACAACTCTAATTATAATTAGTTTATAAGTTCATCCTTCTTTTAAACACTTTGACACTCTTATTTCCATTAAACTTCTAGCTACTCGTATTTTTGTATCAACTCATTCAATTATCCTTAGATATCTCCCATTATTATTTATTTTATATAATAATAATATTCTGAACTTTTATATATGTCCATTATATTATTCAATTTCAATGTTATATCAAAGCTAAGAATGACTATCTAATCAAATTTATTATATTGTAATTCATCACTTAATAGATACGATTTATACACACTTTTAATTAATACATTTTCTTATTTAATATAAAATTTTGTTTTTAGTTGTAGGTAAGTTTATAGAAAATATTAAATTACTAAAAATTAAAATAAATGATAAGTAATCAATATCTATACTTTTAACAATTCTCATTATTTAATACTTATATTCCTTTTATTTATAATTAATCCATGATTAAATTATTTTCAATACTCTAAAATATCTAATTATTTATAAATAGTTTCTATAAATCTGTAATTTACTTATTCTTCGTATTTATGATATAATTTATTTTAATGAAACCTACAATCAATTTATAATTTATTAAAAATTTGTAAAGTTTCTTACAGAATCAGTATTTCAATAAAAAAGGAGATTTCATTAAATTATAAAAAATTTAAGATATTTTTAATAATTCGCTTTAATGTAGAATCTAAAATACTTCTTAAATGAAAATAATAACTCCTAAGAATTTGACACTCTAATAAAAATACAATTATAATAATTCATTTTATAAAGTTGTGTGATTAAATTATTGATTCTAGATCTAAATATTATACTAATATTTTTGGTTGGAAACAATCTCTTATTTTTATATTATTAAATAGAAATGTAATTAAAATAATAATATTTATACTAAATAATCAAAATGTATAATATTTTAATTATTATTATGTTTAATTAAAAGTTAATAATTTAATGGTATGAATATATTTAATTATTTTTAGATTATGTAATAAATTATAATATATAAATATAATGAATTAAAATAATTCAAAGATATTTACAATAATACAATAAATTTACTATAAATAACTCAAAATGATGATAAATATTAACTTGTTAATTTAATGAACTCCCTAGGTTTTTCAACTTAAACCCAATGACCAGCTCCTTATATAAAATGAATATCTCGATTTATATCTATTTTTGGAAATACTTTTAAGAATTTTTCTTTATCATGGATATTCACGTAATCAGATTTATCTCCACAAATAACACAAGCTGATCCCTAATAATTACTATAGAATTCTGAATGACCATTACTCATAAATTTAGATATCACATCTATATTAATTTTCCACTTATAATCAGAATGAAATTCCTCTTTATTTACATAAGTTAGATTTGTCATTATTAAATTAGTTTTTTCCTTACTCTAAACAATTTAAAATATACTATTCTCTATCTCTTTTAATGTCTTGTTTTTCAGATTAATATCTTGTAATTATTACACATAATTTTTGCCTTCTCCTTCACCAGGTCCAACATCCACTATGATATTCCCTATTGGTAAATCAGATGTGTAATTTTGTAAATAAGAAAAGATAATTCTACCTCCCATAGAATGTCCCAGTAAGACAACATTTTATAGATTATGATCATGAATGAAATGTTTTAAATCATTTGCCATCTCTTCATAACTCATTGTTTAAGTTTATGGTGAATCACCATGATTTCTTAAAATACTTATATTTTATTACCTTATGTCTAACAAATATGCTGATGACAAATGTTTACTTATGTGAATATTATTAACTATATTTTTAAAATTAGTTTTTGAACCTAATAAACCATGTAATACAACTAGATTTATTGATCCCTGGTTGTAGACTTATTAAAGAAATACATTCTTAATAGGTTTGAGATGTTTCATATAATATTGAAATAATTTATTATTTTATAAATGAATAAAAGCAGCCTGAATTCATCAAAAATCAAACAACTTTCATCAGGTGCTCCTATTGAAGTTGTTCCTAATGAGATTATTTTTAAAGACATTTAAATCAACTAGACATATGAAATAACAGTATTTGTTAGAAATTTGACTCAAACTGCTCGTAGGATTAGAGTTTTTTAACCTCATTCAAATTTTAGATGCGATTATGAAATGCAAGGGTAATTAAGGATTTCTAGATTTAAGGGCTATAGCAGCAGGTCTATCAATGAAGCTCATTGTAACATTTGAAACAGCCAATCTAGAAAGTTATTCTGACAGTTTAAAGATCGTAACTGATGGTTAATATAGTGTCGATATTCCATTACATGCATTCCCAGCATAAGCAGCGTATGGAATTTTACTAATTAAGTATAATCTATGAACCTTTCATAAATTTGGGATTCGTACGAGTAGGCAAAGAGAAGATGGATAAAATCCATTTTAAGAATGAAGGGAAAGCACCTGGAAAGGTTGAATTAAAATTAGAAAAGATACCTGATTTTAGAATAGATCCTAATTCATTCTCATTAGCTCCAGGTTAAGAATTCTCAGTTTCAGTATTTTATAAACCAAAAGATGCAGGAATTTTTAGAGGTATAGTAGAAGTGATTGCTGATGGTTAACTTAGTGGATTGAGTCTTAAGAATCCAATTGATATTAATGCTACTTCAATAGAATTTACACGATTCTTAATAGATTCAAATGGAACATAGAATAATCATTTTGATTTTGGTACAATATATTATGGATAATAAAAACAAATTGAAGCTTATTTAGTGAATAATACTCCAAATTAATAGAAATTCAAAGTGAAATTGAAAAAGGGTTTGCATGAAAAAGAAGAAACACTTAAGTTATAAACACCAGCAGAATTAGGATTAGAATAAACTGAACGTATTATGGAATGTTGGCCTGAAGAAGGAACTATAGAATCATATTCTTAAACAGCTATTATATTTAAATGTAAACCAAAAGTAAGTGAAGAATTATATATACGAACAAAATAATATGCTATGAATTAAGATAAGAGAATGGATCCAGATGAATTTCAATATTCAGCTATCTTTGATTTTAATGATGATGAACCATTAATGAATCATTTATCTGTACATTGTATTTGTCCTTAAATTAAATTTCCACCTATACAATCATTATAATTTGGATAATGTGGAGCAAATTAATAAAAAGATATGAATTTTGAAATTTAAAATCTATCATAAGAATTACCAATACTTATTGCTTTTCCAACCATTCCCTATTTTACTGTTACTCCACCTATAAAAACTTTGAGTTAATCTGAGAAAGTTAATTTTTGGATAAGTTTTAGACCTAAACATATTGGGTAATTTGCTAATATTTTGAATGCAGAATTATTAGGTGGAGTATTTAAAATACCTATTAAAGTAACAGGTATTTGTTAATAAATATTACCAAAACCACAATATAGAAGAGGACCAGAATCTCAACCACAAGATTTTGAAATAACAAAGGATAGATCTATTTCAGGGATTGTTAAGACTTAGACAGATAAGGTATAAACTTTTGATTTGTCACGTTCAGTAGTATCTGTAGCTTAATAAAGTTTGGATAAGATTGATGATTTGAAATTAACAAATAAAGAAAAATATAATGAATATTTAAAAGGTCATAGAGCATTAAGGATTAAAAAAGAGAAAGAATAATTGATTAAATTAAAATTCACTTAGATGACAGAGAAATTAAATTAAATTAAAAATGAATCATTATTATTGTAAAAGAAAAAATAATAAACAACAGAAGAAGAAAAACCAGAACCTCCTATTGATTATGAATTTGTTGTTGGAATGCATGAAGATGGTTATGAATAAAATTTAAATTTACCAGATGCAAATGAATCTTTATTTGTTACTAAACCTATATATCATTATGAACCAATAACTAGAGTCAAAGAAGGTAATGTAATCAAACCCTTTGATCCAGATCCAAAGACTGTTCCAAAGAAGAAATTTCCTAGTGAACCAAAAACACATAGTGAAATAAGGGATGCTTCATGTGAATTAACAGCAGAATAATTGCTTAAAATAAGTGCTGGTCCTGTAAAAATTGAATTTGGAAATATATTCATAAAATCTTTGGCTACAAAATATTTTTATGTTAGAAATGAATTAAGAAGTTCTATATCTGTTCGTATATATTCAGATAGAGAAGACTTTGCTTAATCATATATGAAACCTTAAATAATACCTAGTGGTTAAACAGCAGGATTTGATGTATGTGTGAATTCTAGGTAATTAGGATAATTAAAATCACATTTGAAATATATTATAAATGAGAAACATGTATTTGAAATATAAGTATCAGCTACAATTGAAAAAGTGTTTTTAGAAATGAGTAGATAATAAGTCAAATTAACATTCACAGAAGATAATGCAGAAATGGAAACAATGGAAATTTTGAGATTGACTAATAATGGAAATGCTGATGCTAAATTTAAATGGATAACATCTGAAAAAAAGACTTTTTCAGTTAGACCAGAAGAAGGTGTTGTACCATTTGGAAAACATTTAGAATGTTAAATAATTTATCGTCCATCTCTTGCAAATAATTAATAATAATATGCAGTATAAGCATCTGGTTAATAATAATAATATACAGCTGCAACAACAAGAACAGAAGAAGAAAAAATTACACTTAAAACAGAAGATGGATTAGATCAAACAGTGAAATGTAATGGAGTTGTGACTGAACCTAAATGTTCAATTAAGTAAGGGTCTTTAGATTTCAAAGATGTAGTTGTGTGTAAACCTGAAACTAAAATAATAAGTTTAAAGAATCATTCAAAATCAACAGCAGTATTTGCAATAAAATCATAAATAGATTGCATTGAAGTTATGCCATTAAAAGGTAGAATTCATTAAGAAGAAACTAAAGATATACAAGTTAAATTCTTTAGTAAAGAAGAGAAAACAATCAAAGGAGAAATTATTATTTAAATTAGAGGAGGTAAACTATTGGTTGTACCTTTCTCAGCTTAAGCAATCATACCTAAAATTGAAATTGAATAGGATCATTTTGAATTTGGAAATGTAACCACTCTAGGTACTAGTAATTAAATGCCATTAACTCTAATAAATTCATCTCCTGTTAATGTTGAATTAGTTTTGGATTTGAGATCTCAAAGTGAAAATCCTAAAGCTCCTGATGGTATTGATTGTTTAGAATTCAAACCATAAGATGATGATGACACTATTATGCATTCTGTTCATCCTGATTAAGAAGATGATGAACCTAAAGAAGAAGATCCATTAGATGATGTATCTGAGAAATCTGAACCTATAGAAATTGAATAAAAGATTTATAGATAATATAATATCTCCATTGGAGGAGGTAAAACTTAATAATTTTTATTACGTTTTTCTCCAAAAGAAGTTAAATAATATTCCTTTGATATTCCATTAACTCTAGCAAGATATGGTATGCTACCTACTTTATTAAGAAGAGTTACTTGCAAAGGACTCAAACCTAAATTCTTAGTTGAACCATAATCCATTGAATTCAAAAAGAAAATAATTACTTCTCCAGATAAATGTTTCCCAACTGTTGAAGAAATCAAATTGTCTAATCCTGATAAACGTGATGTACATTGGAAAATTGATGCATCATCATTAAAATCAGAAAAGATCTTTTCAATTGAACCTACTGAAGGAGTAGTTCCTAGTGGATAACAATCAAAAATTAGAGTTAAATTTAATCCTTATGGACCTGGATAATTTAGTGGAATAGTTTAATTATATATTTTATCTGATCCTGATATACCACCTACTTTACCTTATGTAGAAATTACATTAGGAGGATCTGGAGCATATCCAAGATTATTATTTGATAAAAAAGAAATAATTTTACCAGTTGTTCCTTTGAATATATAATCTAGATGTTTCTTTAGAATTATTAATGATGGATATGAAAATTTAAATTTAAAATATAATTGGGCTCAAGAAATCAGTAATTTTAATTTAGAACTTAAATTTCCTGAAGGAACTACATTAGGTGTAGCCAAAAGTAAATTAAGAGTTGAAGTTATTTTTAGTAATAAGAAACCTTTGAGTTTTACAACAAGAGTTGAATTTATTGATGAAGCTAGAGTATATTCAATATATATTTCTGGTACTACAGATAATTGTATTTTTACTAATCAATCATTTCTTTGGAGGATGGGAAGATATCAATTAGAAGCTGAAGAAAAGAAACCAATTCTTTATGTTGAAGATGAAAATGTAGATTCTGATAATGAAAAGAATCCTAAACATAATTTTTCTGTAAGATCAAGTACTTCATCTAAAGGTACTGCAAATTTAGGTTATACTCCTGTTAGGAAAGAATTATTTGATTAAGCTTCTGAATATATTATTAGATGGCTTAATTATCATGTACTTACAACTAGTATTACTATGTATCCTGAAGAAGTAATTAATTCTAATGGATAACAGATTTTTGAATTGATCACATTCTTAACAGGAAAATAGAATTTTTCATATAAATAAAATATTGATCCAAATTGGAAGAAATCTTAAAGAGCAGAAGCACTTTATAAATAATATGATGAATTAATTAGATAACTTAAAATAGAAGGAGCATTATTAAATCATATTAGATCAGAATACTTATTGAGTTATTAAGACTATTTAGCATGGTTGAAAGTTTAACCACCAACTAAGTTTGAGAATGTACCTGAAAATATGTTGAGACTTAATCCTACTAAATATAACTATTTATAATAAGATGCTTGGATTGCTTTATTTTATTAAATTATCAAAATCTATTATTTGAATCGTATAACTGTTAAAGCATTCAAAGCTCTTCCTGGAATTCCAACTACTAAATTAAATATTCCTGAATATTATTTAGAAGGATCCAATTTAATTTCATAATCAGAAGGCATACTTCTCTACTTTTATGAAATATGTTATGAAATCCAACATTAAATGTCTAGACGTATTAAGAATTTTGATTAAGATTTCAGAGATTCAATATTAATAGCTGATGCATTGACCACTTTTATTGGTCCTTCAATGACTAAATTTTTTAATAATTTCCGTAATTCATGTAATCATGAGGATGATTATAAACATAATACAGAAAAATTAATGCCAGCATTATAAGATTTTGGTCTTTAATCTCATATTTAACCTATTGATATATATCGTCCTTAATGTAGAGAAATGATTATGCTACTTGTTCAATTATTCTTTTCATTACCTTATTATATTCCTTAAAAAGAACCTATTTTCTTCTCTTGTGTATTAGGTGAAGAAGTAGTCAAAAGTATTGAACTTAAGAATCCTACTCAAAAACCAATTAGTTATTGGGTTAAATATGAAGGACATCCAGATTTTCAATTAGAAGGAGATGAGAGTATTAAAATTGAACCAGATGTTCCATATCAATACAAAATTAAATTTACATCAAGAATATCTCAACCTGTTTCTGGAAGAGTGATTTTCACTAACAAAAAAGAGTCTAATATATAAGCAGCAGCTTTAGTTTTTGAATTAAAATCTAGTATTACAGGAAGAAAATCTGAGAAATAATGGAATGTCAGTTCTATTTTGTATGAAATCTTTGATTTTCAAATTTAAATAACAAATAAATTTTTATAAGATGGTGAATTTTAAATAATTATAACTCATGAAAAAAAGTAGATAGAATAATAAAAAAAGAAAGGTAAACCAAATTAAGTATAAGCCATAAATTAAGAAGAGGAATTTCCAGCATTCTTTTGTCAATAAGAGAAGGTTCGTATTCGTAAGAATCAGACCATCAATCTAACATTATAATATATACCATTAACAATGGATACTCACAAATGTTAAATAGTTTTAACTGATCCATAAGTTGGAGAATTTTAACATGATCTTTAAGGAACGGTAGAATTACCTAATTTATCAGGTGAATTTAAACCTGAAAAACCTTTGTATGTAGATTAAACTATTCAAATTCCTTATCAAATTCCTTTTAAAAATGAATAAATAGTTCGTGCTAGGTAATAAATCTAATAAATAATGTAATTAAAATAAAAGAACAAATAATAATAATTAGGTGGAGATAAAACTAATACTTAAAATAATTTTTAAAATAAATTAGTTTTTCCAGGTAGCAATATTGATTAAATGACATTTGAAATAGAAATTTTTCCATAAACATAATATTTATAAGTTCCATAAATATTAACAGTTGCAGATGGAAATAAAAAATAAATAGATCGTAATAATGATGGCAAATTACCTATTACATATGCATTTAAAAATGCAACAAAAGATTTTAGTGTTATTTTAACACTAAAAAATAAATTTGATATTAGAAGATACAAATTATCTGCTCAAGTATTACCGAAAGTTGTCAAAGCAACTTTAGAATTCCGAGTGCCAGCTAGATAATAAGTAGTTTAAGAGATTCCTATTGTGAATAATTCAGATAAAGAATGGAGCATAAAGGTTTAGATCATTCAACCTTAAGATGGATTATTTTAATGTCCAAATAAAGATTTTTAAGTAAAAAAGAAATCTACAGGTTTATTTCCTATTACTTTTTATCCTTAATGGATAGCATCATGTGAGGCAAAATTAATACTTAGTAATCCATAAACTAATGATGTATTTGAATATGATTTAGTTGGTATTGGAGAAGAACCAGTTGCTGAAGAGCATATAATACTTAATTGTTAAGTCAGAAAATAAATGAAGAGAGATATTGAAATAAAAAATAATTCAGAAAAAGTAATTACATACAAAGTAGATACTGATTTAATTTATGCTACAGGACCATAAACAATTACTGTACAACCAGGAAAGAAAGCTATATATCAATTAATAGTATAACCAGTATTATCTGGATAATATACTGGGTCAATCACTTTTACAGAAGAAAATGGAAGATATTTATGGTATACTGTCTTTATGAATACTGAATCACCAAAATCAGTTTAGACTTTAGAATTATCTTGTTTAATTAGATAAGCAACAGTAATGTAATTAACACTTGTAAATCCAATGTCTGAAACAGCAATTTATGAAGCTGTAATAAATGGTGATGGTTTAGTAGGTGAAGATTAATTTGCTATTGGAGCAAATAAAGAAGGAAATTATGAATTGACTTTTGCTCCTCTTAAAGTTGGAAGATGGAGAGGTAGTGTAGCATTTGTAAATCGTTAATTAGGTGAAGTTTGGTATGAATTTATACTCACTTGTGAAGAATAACCTATAATAAAATTAAATGTATTAAAGGCATCTCTAGGAAAAGTAGAATCATAGACTGTTGTTTTAGAAAATCCATCTGATTAAAAGATTACTTTGTAGTATAGAATATCTAATCCAACTAATTTTGATATCTTTCCAAATGAATTAGTTATTCAACCATATGACATTTTAAAAGTTAATATTAGATATACTCCATCTTCACTTGATTAAATAGAATAGTCTGAAATAATATTTACATCTCCTATTGGAAAATGGCATTATTTAGTATTTGGTAATGGTTTACCTCCAACTAAATTTCCAGCTACTACTGTTAGTATAGGATTGAATAAAGATTATAGTTCTGTTGTACATTTTAAAAATCCTTTCAAAGATCCAATTACTGTTAAAATTGAATTGGAAGCAGAAGGACATAATAAAGAAGTTTTTAAATTATTAACTAGCAAAAATGATAAGATTCTTGTTCCAGGAATGAATGTGTTATAAATTCCTTTTTCATTTGTTCCAAGAGAAATAACTTGTTATTATGCTGAAATAATTATTCAAATGAATGAAAAGATTTCATGGACTTTTCCTATAAAAGGTGTAACAGAAAGCATTTCCAATTAAACTTTGTTTCATTTTAAAGCTAAGTGTAGAGAAAAGTGGGAAGATGAAATTAAGATTGGTCTATAAGGAATTGCTTAAACTTTATAAGCTGATGATAAATTCGATTTTGAATTGGCTAATATTCCAGTAGATTTATAACAAATGATCAATAAATGCTTTAGTGTTAAGTGTACTAAAAATTAATTATATAATCCTCATGAAAATCTCCATTATGCTGTTCGATTTTAACCAATGAAACCTTTTAAAGCTAACATTGAATTTATTGTTCTTAGACAAAGTGGTGGAAGATGGAAGTATTCATAAATTAATATATTAGATATAAAATAATCTTAGAAGCTACTTAACCTGATGAAGATGATGTCATCATAATTAGTTCACCATTAAATAAAACTGCTAGTGTATCCTTCAAATTAACAAATAAAACCAAAGGATATGCTAAATTCTATGCTGGATTCACTCCTGAATCTGATGCTGAATTTTCAGTTATACCTAAAATTGGTGATCTTGAACCATATGGAAGAGAGGGAACTACTTTTGTAATTTAATTTACTCCCATAGAATATGGTAAGATTAGAAAAGGAAAATTAGTAATTTAAACAGAAGATATGTATTGGTACTGAATTATTATAATTTAGGTCTTATTTAATTAAAGGTATTCTTCCAAAATATATACCTCCATAAATTAAACAATCAAATATTGATAATCATTTAATAAAATCTTAAATTTAGTAATCAACAATTATTGATTAATCCAAAAACTATGTTGTTGAGAATATCAAAAAAGCAAGATAACTTACTCCACCTGCATCAAAAAGATAGATGTTTTTAGAAGCTTCTTTTATTAAAAAATGAAATATCTACATATATATATATATATTTATATATTACAAAATCATTTATTATCAAGATCTTAATTCAATAATTTTGATGTTTCTTTACTAAAGTAATTCTTAGATTCTAATTCATTCTTTTAAGTTAATAATTCACCTCTATAAATTATATATTATTAATAAATTACTTCACTTCATTTACAACTTTATCACTAACTCCAAAATAATCTAATAAATTAAATAGGAAATGTTATTAAAAATTTGGATCAAACTTTAAAGCTGTATCTATTTATTTCCCTTTTATTTTTGCTAAACCTCTCATATATTCAATTGGATTATAAAGTCCTAAAATTTATAATACACATTACCTGTTATTGCTGCAGTGCCCAAAATATAAAATGATGTAAAAACAATTGATTGAATTGTGCCATACTTTATCACTTCTCTGAAACCAAATTATTTAGGTGAAAATAACTTTTTAGAATAATATTTAAAATGTATTGTGTAATACATTGAAAATCCTGCAGTAATCAAATTGAATGGCACAAGCAAATACAATCGATAATTTGGTAAATATTGCTATTTATATCTCTATTCAAGTATCTTTAACTATTCTTCTGTTAAATTATCAATATTATCCATTCTAATCTCGTCAACTTCCATCACAAATAATTTATAATTAATATTGTATTTCATAAAAAAATAAGAACTATATTCAAACCAATAATATTTAATTTAAAGTCATAATTACAAGAAGCATTTTATTTGAGTCTCTATAAATGTCACTATATCAATAATGTATTTAAATTTTTTAATATTTATCTGTTGTCAATATATATATATATTTAATAAGTTATTAATATTGTAGTAATAATTTAATAATATCATTTATTTCATTCATCTAACCATCTTATCTTTTTTCCATCTTCCCATTCTCCTTCTCTTTCAACACCATTACTACCTCTATATACTCCTTTACCATGTTATTATCCATCTTTCCAAAAACCTTTATACATTCTTCCATCTGGCCAAAAGAATTCTCCAAAACCATGTTTCTTATCATCAAAATATTATCCTTTATATTTTCTACCATCCTTCCATGTAAAAATACCATTTCCATCCATTTTATTGTCTTTCCAATCTCCAGTATACTCTCTAAAATCTGCCCATTTATAAACTCCTTTACCATGAATATTATTAAAAGCAAACTCACCAGTATAAGTACTACCATCACTCCATGTAAATGTACCAATTCCATGTTTTAAACCCATATCATAATCACCTTCATACATGGCTCCATCAGCCCATTTTTCAACTCCAAAACCATGTTATTTATCTTCAAACCACTCTCCTACATATGATGCTCCATCTTTATGATAATAAGTTCCTTTGCCATGAGCTTTGTCATTTAACCACTCTCCAATATAAACATCTCCATCAGCATGAATCAATCTGCCTTTTCCGTTAGCCATATCTGATGCAAAATAACCTTCATAAATTGAACCATCAGCCCAATGCTATTTGCCTCTTCCTTATCTCATTCCATTCTTCCATTGTCCTTCATAGTACACATTTGTTTCAATTTCCAATACTCCAGAATAAGGTAGAGCAAATATATCCTCAGTTGGATCATCATATTAATAAGGACCAACTCTATTTAATGCTTCTTATGTGAATGAATTAGAGAAATCAGGCATAGAACTTAGAGTTTTGAGATTAGATCTAATATGTTAAGTTAATTGAGAGGATTGTGATAATTTTGGTTTAACACTCATATTTTCTTGATTATCAGGTACCTTCTTTGTTGGTTTGAGTTCATTACGAGATTCGTATATATTTGGATCATCACAGGTTGTGCAATTCCCCATTTTAACTGTTATAATATTTATTATGTTATCTAATCGATCAAATAAGGATACCAAGGAAGTCAAACGTATTAGTTTGATTCCAAGTAGACAGGAGTAATAACAAGAACAAGAATACAAGTACATATAACTTGTAAAAACTGTAAATGTAGAGAATCAGGATCCAAAATGGTCAGAACTTAAAGTAGATGGTAAAAATATCAATCATAGAGCTTACACAAGTATAACAATTCATAATGATTTGTATATTTTGTATATGATATAGCTTATATTTATATGGGGGATACTAAGTTCAATTAGGAATCATGGATGAATTCTATCGTATGAATTTAAAGAGTTTAAGTTATTAATGGGAAAAGCTGATCTACAAAGAAAACCCAGGACCAAGAACTCGTCATTAAATGTGTACTTACATGGATAGAATCTATATTTTTGGTGGCTAAATCCACTAATCTGTCTCAACTAATTCCATGTGGTACTTTGATCTCAATTCCCACACTTGGATTAAGTGCAAAATTAATTAATCTTACCCTCCAGAAATAGATAATCATACAGCTATTATTCATAATGATAATTGGATAGTATTTGGAGGCTTTTTTGGAGGTACAGTTGGATTACATTCTAACTATGTCTATAAATATGAGTTTGCTTCTAATACATGGCAAAGGATTTAACCTTAAAATAGTACAGCTCCCGCTCCCAGAGATGGAGCAGGCATAACAATACATAAGAATATTCTCTATATGTTTGGAGGATCTAATGGACATTAAAGATTCAATGATCTATGGAAATTTGATTTCTAAGTATGGACCTACATACCTGTTAGTTCTAATATATTACCTAAAGTTAGATCAGGACATGTGATGTCTATTCATGATGATAAAATTATTATTTTTGGTGGAATACATGATATCACTTGGGAATTAGATGATTTATTTGTATTTAATCTTAAAAAAATGGAATGGATTAGTGTTGATGAAGATAGTGCTAGGAAAAAAGATAAATAATAATTATCTCCTAACAAAGATAATAAATAAGATCTTTAAAATTCACGTAGATAATTTAGAAAATCAACTAGAACTGGTAGTATAAAAAAGACTATTAAAAGAACAACTCTCTCTCCTCTTAAAAAACCTGATTAATCTGAAGACAGCGTGGATTCACCCACTAGAAATTTATCTCAAGCTTAATCTAATTAAAAAACTCTTGATGAAAAAAAAAAGAAAGAAATTTAATAAAAGAAAATGGCTTTATTAAAGATTTTTGAAGTTGATGAAGGTTAAAAATAACAATTAAGAGATAATTCACCTACTTCTGAAAAAATGAGGAATTCATTATTTTTAGTAGGAAATCCAAAAGCTGATTTGAAGATTAGATAAGGGAAATTAACTGAATTTGGAAAACCTTTGGTTTCTAGGTATATTTTCAATTATTTTTTCTTTAGATTTTTATAACCACTTTAATCAATGTAAAATTCAATCGTTGGAAAAAAACCTTGTGCTCGAGATGGACATTCATTTACAAAATATGAATCTTAACTTCTAATTTTCGGTGGAGATAGACATCAAATGTCCTTTAATGATATATATTCTTTAGATTTAACAAAAATTTGATAAAAAACATATAAAAATATTTAATCCTTATATTAAAAATCATTTAATATTAATTCTTTTAAAAATTAACAATAAAAATTTTCACTTGTTTTTTAATTAGAATAAAATATTTGTGATTTTTTTCATAATGGACATTCTTTTTTTTCCGTTATCCTATTATCGGTATTGTTCAATTTTTTTGGAATTATTTTAAATACAATAACTATAAATAATAATATTATTTGTGTATTATAATTAATTAGTTCTGATAAGAATATCTACCCTTATATATAAAAATAAATTGTATTAGAAATTTTGAGTATATAATATATTTCAGAAGTTATTGAATAAAATAATAAATTCAAATTATTTTGTTTTCAAATTTTTATATTATAGAAGTATTTATGTGAGATATAGTAACAAAGCACTTTAGAATTAGTAAATTTATTATATTAACTTAATGATAAATTACTTTAGCAACTTGTTCATGGTTATTAATTATTTTTATTTTAATATAATTTATTTTATATATAATTTCAGTTAGATCAACCTAAAGATTTCCGTAACCAAAGAATTTTTAGATATTTTATTGATTAAATAAAATAATTTAAATTAAAACATATCTTTTTCATAATATAAAAGTCACAATTAACTTTCTCCATATTGATAAATAAAAATGAAATAAATTTTGGCAATCGCATTACTTATCCTTTGTATCACAGCTAGAAAACATCACAAATAAGAAGGTGAAGAGCCAACAAATCCAATGGTTTAATGCATTTAAGATAATTGCATGAATGAGGCATTTGGATGTGTTTTTGATGATGCATGTGCTGAAACAATGAAAACCTGTGATGAAGAACATGGAGAAGATATGAAAATTGACACAGTAATTATCATTGTAATTTTTTAAGCTTGTTGAATGCACCGCCAATAATGAATTTGCTTCTGCATTTGCCACTTGCATGTAAACTAATTGTGCCAGTTTAGAGTAGGTTATGAGATTCTTCAACAGAAGAAAATGAACATTTAGATGATTTTTTATTAACACAATATTCAAAAATCATCATATATTGTCAAATATTTTTCTTATTTCTTTTAGACCTAACACACACAAGTGTTGAACAACTGTCAATTAATTATATAAATACATATATTATCAATTATCATACATTCTCGAAACTCATATTAAAAGTAATTTAATAATTATGAGATATTTTATAAAAATGGAAGTTTGGTGACTTTGAGAAGGGGTTCGAACAATAAATAATTAATAATTTATTTATTTATTTATACTTTTATTCTAATTATTTTTTATTGAATTATACAAGGTTGATTTGATGTAGTCTAATTTTCAAAATCATTATTGATATAATATGGAGTATTGATTAAAATTGTGTATATAAAATTTAATTCCGGTTTTGAGTGAAAATATCTTATTTATAATAAATGAATATTTGCCAATTTTAAAACCAATTCGATTACACTAATTGCATGTTAGATGATGAATCCAATCAGAATATTTTAATCTAATGTCATACTAATATATAAAAGAAGTAGAGCATGAATACATCTACTTAAGGATAGAGTGATAATTCTGAAATCTCCTAAGCTGAATAAGACTCAACAATCCTAGATATTGAAGTTGATTAATATCTATTCAATATTAATCTCAGACATTATCCTACTTTCCAATAGGAAGAATTCATTCATAATTTTTTATCTCATAATACAATCTAAAAGCTGAAATTAGGACTTAGTACTGAACTGGCTGAAGATGATAAAACTAAGAAATTTGAGGAGTGGCTATTTAGTTTAAGAAATAGAAATGGGCAGAATTTAGCAAGGGAATTGAAAGTAAAGAAATATTTGGAGAAGAAAAGAAATAGAACTTATGAAAAAAGAGTTCAATATTAAGTTAGATAAAAGGTTGCTGGAGAAAGAATGAGAATCAAAGGAAGGTTTATTACTTGGAGATAGGTAAATAATACAATCTAAAAATAGGCTGTTAAAATGTTAGATGGTGATGAATCAAAGAAAGAGTGGACTTACAATGATTATTTTAGAATCAAGGCATTACTATACTCTAAATACAACTTGGTTAATAATCTCTGATTTTATTATATGATTTCATTAAAGGTTGAAGATTTTATAATATTTCTAATTATATAATTTAATTAATAAAAGCTTTTATTCAAACTACAGGATCTAATTATCTAATAGATATACGATCATCTTATTCCTATTATGATTTGAATATACTAGGTAACTTAAGTTGCCTAAGTAAAACTTATTTTGAATCCCCGTTAGAAAATTAAGGAATTCTTGAAGTAAGAGGGGGTGGATGTGGACAATATTACAATTAGAATTGCAATTATTACATTTTTAATCGTTTGCTAGGTTCAATATGAATAAGTGGATTATTTAGGTTTAAATTAACTTAAGGATCTTTGAGAAATGAAGAAACACTTTCATAATAGCTTTAAATTTTAGAAGATTAATGAGAAACTCCAGCAAGAATATCTAAAGATCTTTTAACAATACGGCTTCTATTAGTTTTACAAATAGGTTGATTTTCTGTTTTCATACGTTGTAAAACCGAATCATTTTCAACTAGATTTAATGATAAAGATTATTTTGATTATCTTTAAGTTTCTCCATAAATCTGATTGGCCTTTGTTATGATATATTCTAACTTTTTCATCATTAATTATAGAGTTTTCAATGATTCTCCTCTACAACAATATAATTTAAATCTCTAAATTTAAATAATAAGATTTACATCTGCTTATAAAAATAAAGTTTAAACTTTTTCTGTTAAACAAATTGCTTTGGTTTCTCTTTAAGATTATTTTTTCATAATTTCCATAAAACCAAAGAATTGACCTTTACTATATCGATTGATAACTATTTATTATTTATTTGGTTATTTAGATTATTGCATATTTTCTAAATCTTTACTTTTCTATTATAATTCAACTAAACCAGATACAATGAAATAAACTCCTTTAATTGATTCTCCTTCTTTAAAAATAACATTATTCATGGCATAATCTATAGATTAGAAATGATATTAAATAACACTGATGTCAGTATCATTCCAATCAGTAAATATATTGATTGATTTCAAAAATTCAAAATTTTTATTTTAAATTCTTATATAATATTCAGCTAAATAAATAATAAAAGTGTTTATTACATAAGAATGTATGAAAAGCCTCTCTTGATAGTTTAATAAATTAACAATCTTCTGCACAAACTATAGTCGCTTATCTAGGCATACAATTTGTAAGAGCTATCTCTCCAAAACTACCTCCTTATTCTATTTTACCAACCTTCATCATATTAGGGTATTTAAGTTCTAACATTTTTTCATCATCCACATCTTAAAATTCATCTTCATCCTTTTATAAATTCATTAATTATACTGATTCTTCACCTTCATCATATTCCTTTTCAACCTTTTTCTTTTTATCATTTTTTTTGTCTCCTTTTTTTTCTATTACTTCAATTTTATTATCACCCAAACCACTTTTTCCAACTAAAACCTTTTAAATAATAAATATTTAAATACCCATACACTACCTCTCAAAATTATATAAAAATTTTTTCCAATTGCTCCAAAACGAAAAAGTGTCCGACGTGCTGGTACATTGATGTATTGTAATTCTCTATAAAGATTAAGCATTTCCTCTTAACTTGTTGTTTTTTGCATCTCAGTAAAATATTTAATAGAGTAAAACGCTTATGATAATAAGTTCAATTCATTTTAGTTTCTTTATTTTTACTCCTTTGATAAAATACCCACAATAACCTTTACTTCAAATATAGTTTACCTCAAAGTGGGTAGGATTGTCAATATCTATTTCACCCTTCTATAATAACTCTTTGACTTGTTGGTTTAGTTTGAATTATAATTTTATTCGATCAATATTTGAGAGTCTTCTGTACATTAGTTTGTATAAAATATATAAAATAATTAAGTCATCCTAAAAAGAGCGTACTAGAAGTGCTTTTTGTATTTTTTGAGAGATTTTATTCATAACTATAACCACTGAATAGATTCTATACTGAGTTTTTCTTTAATAAGAGTTTATTTTCTCTTATCAAATCATCTTGGCTTTCATTATCTTCGCTAATTTAATTTAAATATTCAATATTGTCATCAATTTCCTAAATCAAAATTATGTTTATACACTTGGAATATATGGAGATTAGATTTCTTTATTTAAAAGTTTTTACCAAGGAAAATTTCTAAGCCAAGGATGATTTTTCACTTCATCTGGTCCTTTAAAACCAAGTCTATTTATTGGTTTTCTTTATATTAATTTGTTTATAAAATCAGCACCTTCAATAGACCAATCATTTGGAACCTCAGATTTTTTTATCTAAACCTGTCTGGTAAGAATTTGATCTCTAATTTCTTATCTTGATCTTCCATTATAAGGTCTTCTGCCTAACATAAATTCATAACCCATGATTCCAAGAGCAAAGTAATCAACAGCTATTGTATGATTCTATCTGCACATTACTTCAGGAGCTATAAATTTAAATATAAAAATAAATTTATACCCATATATCCAGGAGTGCCACTTGTATCTTATGAATTTTCAGCTTTCCAGATTCTAGCAATCCCTAAATCTGTTAATCTAACATATCCATATTTATCCAAAACCAAATTTTCTGGTTTAAGATCTCTATGTATTATGTTGTTATTATGCAAATACTCTAATGACAATAGAACACAAGCTACAAAAAATTTTGTTTGATGTTCCTTAAATCTTCTCATTTTCCCAATATGATATCTTAAATCTCCTCCTGTTAATAAATCCATCACCAAATATAAATTGTCTCTATCTTAAAAACAATAATTCATATTAATTAAAAAAGGATGTTTAAATTAAGCCAATAGATTTCTTTCATTCATTACAGAATTAACACTTCTTTTGGCTATTACTTTTGCTTTTGACATTTCCTTCATAGCATAAAATTGTCTAGATTTCTTAATTTCAACTTTCCACACTTTACCAAAACCACCTTTCCCAATTACATAATGAAATTGAAAATTATTCTTGCTGACTTAAATGTTACAATCTACCATTAAGGTTTCTTCGTTTTCATCACTTAATTCTTGTCTTTCTTGTTATTTTACTATACTCTTAGAATTCTCATATCTAGAGTTATGTTAAAAATTCATCATAGAATTAAATAGATTCTCAAAGCCTTTAGAGTATTTAAATTAACTAGGTACTTAGAATTCCTACTATTTAATTTGTATCTAAGGAGCTTCATTTATTAGTTGTGATCCTTTTTCAACAGGCTTATTTTCCTTAACTAAACTATCTTATTGCTTGAACAAAGTATCTGGTGGTTTAATTTGATGGTCACTTGAAAATTTTGGATACACAAATGGAGATACTTTTTGTGCTGTAGTATTATTTGGAGATTTGGAATTCTTCCGAACAGTATTTCTATTAATAATATCTAGATTATCGAAAATTGCTGGTTTAGCTGGAGATTAATCTTTGGATTGATTATGCGTTTATATTTAAGAATCTTTTTTATGATTTTATGACATTAACTTAGATAATACATAGACAGGACTGCGAGAACTTGAATTAAAAAATAAATACTCCTACTTCTCTTTATGAAATGAATTGTTTCTACTACTGTTAATATTAGTGGCACTCTAATTCCTTGTATGCTTTGATTTAATTTTCTATTGTTATTAATCTTATTATTGCATATTGAGTTAAATGATTTTAACTTTTGAAGGTGTTGCACTTCTTTAAGAGGAGGGTGTTTGTCTATTTTTGGTAGTTTTTTGAGCTATTTAGAAAAAACTAGTAAATTAACTTAATCCTAAAGGAGATTTGTTAGTTTGCTTCGACCGTTCATTCTATAATTCCTAATAATAATTTGGATCATATCTTACAGGTTTTGGCTTAACAAAATTAAGTTTGGTTGGAAATAAATCCTTGAGATTACGGTGGTTAGACATTATTATTATATAAATATAAATATAAATTATTAAACAATTTTATCAGTTCAGTATAGTATGGATGAGAATAGTAAAGATAGACTTTGGAATATAATAATTGATAAGTAGTAAACTCATAAAAATGAATGATAATATAAAAATTATATATATTTAAGCTGAATCAATCTAATGTTTAATTTTATTATTACCACCAAGAAATCTGTTATTTAATGGAGGTTCTTCTAATTCCTCCGCAATTGGTTAATGAACAATATGCTATGGTTTAATTTATTTAAAGGCTGTAAAATCAATGGTTCTCTTTTCATGACGATGTGTACTGATTTCTTCAGGTTATCTTGGTATTTCTCCCAATTGTAATCGATTAATTGGTGTTGCTCCTTTTGCAGAATGAATTTCAATCATTTAACATGGTTTATTTTCAATCGTTATTTGAAGGTTCTTCTTTTTCATAGTTTGATTTGGGATTATTTTCTCAAAAACACATTTCTTTATACAAAAGACTTCTCCTATTGTTGAATTACAGAAAACATCATAGGTATAATTATCATTGTGAATTTCATCCATTCCAATTACATCCATCACTTTAAATGTCTAAGAGAATAATTATCATAAATTATCTTACACGAAGTTATTTCTATATTTAAGGTTCCTAAGCAAATATCTTACTTATATAAGATAATGGATTCTTGGATTGAGACTTGACTAATATACATTTACTTAAATAATTACCATATTTGACTTAAACAAATTCACCTTTAGTTACAACATATACGTGTTTGGGTACTTCATTGGAAACAAAGATCTTAGAGTTTAGACAATACTATCTAAATTATTATGCTTCTTAGGGCCATTTTTTTAAAGCCTAAGATACTGCCATCAAATCATTTTTGGTCTTATCTTATTTGTAGATAAATTTCAAACATTCCTGCATTCGTTAATTATGCTTTTACCTGTTGAATTTGTTCCATTTTTTAATTTATTATGAATAGTTATTTAATAAGTAAGTACTCTCAATCATCTCATTATCATTATAAAAAAGGAATAAATGACATTTTAGAAGGAAAAAGATGTTAATTACTAATCAAACTTAAAGATCTATAATGTTATGACACACCTCAAGAACATTTAACCAAATATTATCACATTAATCAGTTAAGAGATAAATTACATATGTTAGGAGAATATTATAAAGTATGAAATTCAATAAATCAATCAGTATCATAATGACATACCACGTTTATTTATGATTCCTGCCATTATTCCCTTAAATTATTTTCATGATCGTAAAAGAAGACTTGCATTTTTTAGAATTGCTCGTTTGATTGCTTAAGAAAATCATAACAACCCAGATAAACCATAAAAAGGAATTGTAGGTGATTCACCCATACCTTTGACTAGTGAACAAATTACTCCATAAGATCCTAGCTCTTCTGATGAAGTATATACAACTAAATTACATTAGATCCTCTCGAAAAATGATAAAATCTTGTAAGGAATCAGTTTCTTAATTTAAGAACCTGATTCTATTGAAAAAATCAAACAATAAATTCAATCTATGCTTAAATTAAAAAAATAACCAAATACATCTTCTACTAAAATCAATAGCATTGGAAGTAACACAACTACTAGTAAATCAAATAAGTAATCTATTCTAAAATAAACTAAATAAACACAACAATAACCACAAAAAAGCAAGTCTCCACCACTCAAAATTTAATCACCTTCCATTTAATTAATTGATATGGCTTCACCTAGAGGTTAAAAACAATCCAAATAGATATCTCCAAAAAATATACAATAATTTACTAAAAGCAAACCTAAATCACCTTCTGTCAATATGGCTTCCCCAGTTTAACAATTTATGAAATTATCTGCAAAGATGAAATAATCATTTAATAAACAATAATGTAGTAGTGCTAGAAATAATACAAATATTCCAAATAGTGCTAATTAAAGAAAAAGTAGTGTTACTCATATTCTGAACATACTTAAGTCACCAAACAAAAATAGTTCTTAATAGATATAACATATTTCATCTACTCCTAGAGATTAAGAATCAAAAAGAAGTTTTAATAATAAAAAGGTTCATCAATTAGAATTGCAAGTGATGTCTGATCTATAGAGCTTATTACAAAAAAAGACCTGTTTAACTCATAGAAGTTCAATGACTAATAAAAATTGCATTAAGAAAAAATTGAATACTAGAGAACTTAATTAGTTTAAATGTGTAAGGTTACCCCTATCCAATAGAGACTTTAATAATCAACAAAAAGAATGATTTTTTATATATATAGTTAAATATTTATGAACTCAAATTTATCAGATTAAATATATTTTTAATTTTTTAACAGATTACATATAATTATTTGAATTATTATTTATATTATAATATTTTTAATACAACCTATAATACTTAATTATTTTACATCTTATAAAATTTTATTTAAATCTATCTCATCTATATTATAATAATATGTAATTAATCCAAAACTCTCATCCTTTATGATCATTGATAACAAACAAAGATAATCAACTTTCTATTTTTTACTTATTGTATTTTTTTTAAATTGAAATTATCCTTTGCCAAATATCATATACATAATATTATATAGAATTATGCTTTTAAACTTTAATATAATCGAAATAAGTTTAGAAAGTTTTTAAATAAAAAGATATCAAATTCTATTCAAAATATTTAATCTATATTATATATTATTTCTAAATAGTCATATAGTTTAATAAGAATGAATTTATTACTAACCAAAAATGAAAACTATACTAAAATAATATATTCATACTCTAAGTCTAACACAAAGAATTACTACTTGTATACCTTATTTTCATAATTGCAATAATATATATTTTATAGAAAATTTGGATTATATATATATAAGCAGTATTACAGATTTTAAATTATCATAAAAAATAGTTATAAGAATCTAATCAAATATATCTCAAGCTTTTTTTATATTTAAGACCTTTCAATTAATTAATTTCCAGCCATTAAAAAAAGTCTATTAGATATAATTTGTTCTGTANAATAATACAAATATTCCAAATAGTGCTAATTAAAGAAAAAGTAGTGTTACTCATATTCTGAACATACTTAAGTCACCAAACAAAAATAGTTCTTAATAGATATAACATATTTCATCTACTCCTAGAGATTAAGAATCAAAAAGAAGTTTTAATAATAAAAAGGTTCATCAATTAGAATTGCAAGTGATGTCTGATCTATAGAGCTTATTACAAAAAAAGACCTGTTTAACTCATAGAAGTTCAATGACTAATAAAAATTGCATTAAGAAAAAATTGAATACTAGAGAACTTAATTAGTTTAAATGTGTAAGGTTACCCCTATCCAATAGAGACTTTAATAATCAACAAAAAGAATGATTTTTTATATATATAGTTAAATATTTATGAACTCAAATTTATCAGATTAAATATATTTTTAATTTTTTAACAGATTACATATAATTATTTGAATTATTATTTATATTATAATATTTTTAATACAACCTATAATACTTAATTATTTTACATCTTATAAAATTTTATTTAAATCTATCTCATCTATATTATAATAATATGTAATTAATCCAAAACTCTCATCCTTTATGATCATTGATAACAAACAAAGATAATCAACTTTCTATTTTTTACTTATTGTATTTTTTTTAAATTGAAATTATCCTTTGCCAAATATCATATACATAATATTATATAGAATTATGCTTTTAAACTTTAATATAATCGAAATAAGTTTAGAAAGTTTTTAAATAAAAAGATATCAAATTCTATTCAAAATATTTAATCTATATTATATATTATTTCTAAATAGTCATATAGTTTAATAAGAATGAATTTATTACTAACCAAAAATGAAAACTATACTAAAATAATATATTCATACTCTAAGTCTAACACAAAGAATTACTACTTGTATACCTTATTTTCATAATTGCAATAATATATATTTTATAGAAAATTTGGATTATATATATATAAGCAGTATTACAGATTTTAAATTATCATAAAAAATAGTTATAAGAATCTAATCAAATATATCTCAAGCTTTTTTTATATTTAAGACCTTTCAATTAATTAATTTCCAGCCATTAAAAAAAGTCTATTAGATATAATTTGTTCTGTATAGGAGATTTGAAAATTATTTTATTAATTGTTCATTATTAAGCAGTACAGAACTTTCTATATTGTAGTGCTTACCAATTGGTTAGAAATCTGATTGATTAATTCCTAAAGGAGAAAATAATAAAAATAAATATATTCTTTTCATATACCTAAATATTATCAATTAAAGATTAAGTTCATTATTTTCAAATAATTATCTATTGAGTTTTTAATTAATTAATCTAAAATATAATATTCTAATTACTCATCAAATGAAGATTTCATTCTTTATTTTCTTAAATTATCAAAGAGTTAATCTTTCCTGTTAAATGACCTTAAAATTTATTTTTCCATTTAGCATGTTAATAACATTTATTATCATATATTTAATCAATTTCAAGTTTATTTTTTTAATTAATTTTTATTAAATATTCTTCTAAACTTTTAACTTTTTGTAACAGTAATAAACATAGAATTATATTCTTATTTAGAAAATTTAATTGTAAATGATTATCTAACAAATTGTATTTCTCTTCTTTTTTGTGATTTCTTATAACTATATATACGCTTATAAAACAAATTATAATTTTTTTATTTTAAAGTATTATCAGAATATTTTATTGATTTCATTCAAATAATAAAATTACATAGATTATCAAAAAATTTGAATAAATCATAAATTTAAACTTGAAAATATTGCATAAATATATTTTTAAGTTAATAATTAATGAATAATTCTTTTATTACTTTGTGTTTGTAACACAGATGAATTGATTAATGTATAAATAATTAAATTAATACACGAGCTAATATGTCAACTATTGAGAAGCAAATATACAAGCAAAGAAAACTCAGCAATGATGTTGAATACACATACAATTCAACAGAAATATTCACAAACTCGTCTTTCTTTGATGAAGAGAGAAGTTAAGATTTTTAAGATGATAATTAATCAGTTGAAGAAGAATTTTAAGATAATTGGGAAATGTCATCAATCTGCACAGAGAATGTACCTTTTTTCTTTTAATTATAGTCTTCTAATCCAAACTCAATAGAAGAAAATCAAACAATTAAGAAAATTACAAAAAGACCAAATCCTGCAATGCCAATAAGGGTAGAACCCTTGATTGATAATAGAGCATTTATTGATGCTTCAGAGAGCATTAATAAAAATTCTAAATATGGCAAGGGCATTGCCATTAACGTGCTTGGACATGGATCCATATGCAAATAAAGTAAGAAGGATAAAAAATAATAAAAATTACTTAGTAAACAATATCTTGGAAATAATAATAATTCACAACAACAATAAAATTAGAATCAATAAAATAATAATTAAAGTGATTAACTATAAGGACATTAATTATAATAAAGAGGATCAGTATAGGAAAATAAATAAATTAACTAATGTTAAAAAGTAACACTATCATACTTATTAATGGAAACAGAAGTTGAAAAATAAGCTAAGATAAGAGCTATAAATTTTATTGAAAAATACATTAAATAATAATAATAAGTGGAAGATGTTATTTAAATGATATCAGAAACCTATAAAATTTTATTAATACCAGATTTATAAATGTAGCAACTGGCTGCAGTATTAAGTTAAGAAGAAAGAGATTTTTAATTGAATCTATCGTTACTGCGTTTAAATTTGAATAAAAATATTCATCCATTAGCTAAGAAGGCTGAATCTAAAATCAAACAGTATTTTTAATTGCATTGATCGATAATATATCAAGACTTGCTAAGAGAAATGAGAGTATTATTTATAATATATTTAAAGCTCTCCTAAGTATTATTACAAATCTTATAATAATAATAATTTTTCATAAAATATAATCAATAAGGTCATGTAATTTGAGTTTCTCTCGATTAAATTCTCTAACATCATCATATTAACTAGCCTCAATTAAATAGTCGACTAAATATTTCAATTCTTAATCTTTTTCATCATCTGTCCATTCTAAAATTGGTATACCATTCTCTAATTAAAATCCAAAAGAATGAGTTAAATTGTCAACAATTATAATGTTTTTTAAATCAACATCTCTAAGAATGCGAAGATCCTTTATAAAGTAACCATTCTTTGTTTCGAGACAATGATTTCTAGTAAATATTCCTAAGATCTTATCTTCTAAGGGATCAATGTAATCTACTAAAGCTAATGCATATGATGGTGAAGAGGCTGTAAATATGAATATCTAGTAAAATGTTGATAAATTATCAAGAAAATATGCTAGATATGGTCGAACGTTGAATCTAAGCTAAAATATTACAATATATAATACTAATTATCCATCTTCAGTTTTTAATTAGACTTAAGATTTCTCTTTGCTTGTACAAGAATGTATCAGTGTTTCATCTAAATCTAATATCAATATTTTTTTTTCTTTGTCTTTTATTGGAATGTCCACTTACTTTTACAATAAAAATTTCTCTGATGGTGGTTTCAATGATTTAGTGGCATAAATAACCCCTCTTTATGTTTATTCAATATGTTTTATTAGAGTCTCCTAAGTTGTTCTTTATCCAAAAATCAACTATCTAAATGGATGATCTGCGAATTTATCTCTTCTATTAACTAAATTCCTGCCATTATGTGCAAATGAAGATTTGCTTTTTTCGTGTTAAATTTTGAATTTAGACATTTTTAAGGGAGTTAGAGCCATTTTACTAGGTGTACCAGTATCTGAATCATCGCTTTGTATTTATTCTTTAATAGAAAGTGGAGTCAAGGCTGTGTCTGGTGTTTTCTCATCTTCAGATTAGCTTAGCTAATATTTCTTATTAAGAAACGTAATCTTCTTCTTTATCATTTTTTAATATTATTTAGACGCCTATTTAAAGTAAAATCGATTTTAAGATACGAATACAACATTAATAAAATATTGTTTGAAAAATATTACTTCAAATCTTGATAAAGTAAAATTTACATAAATAAATGAATTCATTTTTCCATATTTTTAAATATTTATAATCACTTATAATGTTCTAGTACAAAGTGATTATTTTATTCAATATTAGGTTTTCCTAAAATTCATATAAAAAAACACTTGAATCGTTAACTAATTAAGAATAACAATTTTATTTAAATAAGTGTCACATTCTAAATGTAATTCAATTTTAATATTTTATGTTTAATTTTTATATATTACAATTCAAATTAATTTTTCATATATGTTTTGTGAATTCCAAAAAAAATTAATGAATATTATATGCCAATTAATATTGTAAATTTAATGTTAAAAATATAAATAACATCATTATAATTACTATTGTTGTTCTGGCTATTCAGTTTGAATTCATATTAGATAACTTAAATCAATTATCACTAAAATAATAGCATTTAAATTCTCTCCTCATTACATTTAATTTTCTTTATTTATTGCTAATTTATACATTTTATCTAAAAAAGGATAAAGAATGAAAAACATTTTTTTTATTTTACTCATTATTTTATTGTATAAATATATGGAATGCATGAGATATAAAAGAATATTAATATTTATATTATTTATATAATTTTGACATTTATGGTTCATTAATCTTTGTTAAAAGAATTCAAATTTAACCAAAAAATTTAACGAATTTAAAATTAGTGATGAGTTTATCATTGTTTTTTTTTTATAATTTAATATGGCTATTTATAATGATTATTCTGACATTAAATTATTTAATGTAATTAAATTGGATTTAAATAAAGTTTCATTCAATAAACATACTCAATATTGTTTTAGGATTATTACTTTATTTGTAAGATATCACTTAATTAGGATCTTTAATATTTTTTATGCTTAATGGAATGATAATGTTGACTGGGATTTTGATATTGAAAAAAAAGTTAATAAATAAGAGTCATTTACAATAATTAATACTTATAATACTAAGTATTCAAATTACATATTGCTGTTTTCTTAATCGTGAATTAAATGTGTGCAGTTATTTACTAATTAAATTTTAAGAAGCACAAATTATAAAAAAGTAATCAAGAATAAGATGTATTTTATATCATGTTGTCTATAATTCAGTTTTGTTTTCTTTATTAATATTTCATAATGAAAACATGATTTTATACATATTGGCATTCTACTGTACTTTAATTATGATTCCTAAAGCTAAATCAAGTTTATAACTGCAAAACCAAGAATTTGAACTACCTTCTCATTTAACTAAGCCAACACAAAGAAATTCAGAAATAATGAATTTAGTTTAAGATACAATAAGCAATTAATGGATGATAAGATTATAAAATATTCCAGTAGGAATTATGATTGTTAAAAAAGAGAATTTGTAAATAATGTTTTAAAATCAATCTCTGTTATAAATGTTTTAAGGAGTCAAAGATGTTTAATCATATTTAATGAATGAATTATAGTTTAAATTATAGATAAAAAGGAAGAGAAAGTAAGTAAGGGAATCTAGTATAAGACTGACAAAACAGCAAACTTAATTAAACAACAATAGTTTACCTTAGTTTTATAGTTGTAGCAAAATTCCAAGTATAAAAAATATGCCTAATACTTTAAAAGACATTTTAGTAGAATTATAAAATGGAAATTTGGATTAGTTTTAATCAAAGGAAAATCATTTAGAATTATTAGGTCAAACATCAAAGAATAAATAAACATAATTATTTGAAGATGATAATATTCGTAAAATTTAGTGCAAAATATTTTGTGGTTAGAATGACTAAGAATATCTTATTATAATGGATGATATTTCATTGCAAAGTTATTTATAGAAATTAGAAACAAGAGAAAAATTCTAAGTTCGCATTATTGATTCTTTCTCTCATGAATTGCGAACACCTTTGAATAGTGCAAAGTTATTTTTAGATGCTCTCTTAAATGATCCAAATATCTTGGATACTTATAAAACTAATTGTATAGAACCAGCAGCTAATGCTTTAAAATTATAGGCTTATTTAATAAGAGATATTATAGATTTCACTTAATATCATTCTCATGTGATTAAGTATAATATTCAAGAATTTAATTTTGAAAATATTATTTAAGAAATTAATGATATTTTTAAACCAATTTGTACAATTAAAAATTTAGGATTACATATAAATGTAAAAAATTCAGTTCCTGCTCTTATAGATTCTGATTTTGATAGAATTATGTAAATTTTAGTTAATCTTATATCAAATTCAATTAAATATTCTGTAAGAGGATTAATAACATTGGAAATATCTTGTTATGAAAAAACTATGACATTTTGTATAAAGGATTAAGGAGTAGGAATACCATAAAATAAATTATATCAAATTTAATAGTTTTTAAAGTCATATAATTAAAGTAGAGATTTTTCTAGTTAAGATGAATGGGAAGGTTTTGGATTACTTGTTAGTTAAATGAATTTGTTAAAATTAGCTCCATAAAACAAAAGTTAATTAAGAATAACTTCCCGTGGTTAAACAGAAGGTTGTTAAGTAACTTTTAAAATACGAACTACTTAATCAACAAATACATAGATTTTAAGAGGAAATACATTTTAAAGAACAAGTTTGAAATGTGCTTTTACTGTACCTGATTTATGTATGGGAATATAAGGAATTTTAATAATAAATAATCCTAAATAAAATGATTCAATTTTTGATAATTCTATATAATAAATTCCTATAAGATAACAACATTCAATTGCTAATTATTTCAAACCATAATAATCAACTGGAGCATATAATTAAAGTGTTTAATAAGAGACTGATCTAATTGATGATTAAGATTCAGAAAGAATTAATCTTGGAGATAATTTATTAAAATTAAATAGTCAAAGTATACACACTACTTTATTAGTATAAAATATTGATACAAATGATAAATAGCCTAAAAAAAGAAAGCAATCTTCATTTAGTATATCTGATATAGATGCTTCTTCAAGTAATCGACCCAATACTCTTATATCTAGATTAATTTAAAGAGAAGAAAAGGAAATTGAGATGGAAGAATAATTTTAAAACATAAGATATTAATGCAAATGTGCTAGAATTTTGAGTGTTGATGATGATATCTTTAATTAAAAAGCATTACAAGTAATAATTAATTAGATGGGTTTTCGTTTATAAATAGTATATAATATCTATATATTTAGGCATACAATGGATAATAAGCAATAGAAGTTATTAAAAAAACAGAAAAATGTTCTGAGTCTTGCGAATTATTTTATTTTATTTTAATGGATTGTTAAATGCCTATAATGGATGGTTGGACAACTACTAAGGTTTTAATGGACATGATTAGATAAAATATTATTCCTGACATACCTATAATTGGATTAACTGCTTTTAATTCAACTGAAGATATTGAAAGATGCATAGAGGTTGGAATGAGGGAAGTATTCACAAAACCTTTGAATATCAGTTCACTTAAATAAGTATTACTAAAGTTAATTAAATGATGATGATCTTATTCATACAATCTTACTATAAATGAATCAATTGTAATCATAATAACACATTCTAATAATTATTATTATCCGTTAATATGAGTTTCAGAGATTTAGAAAATCCAGAGTAGGCAGTCTTTATATCCTAAGATTTATTAAATGAATCCTTTTCGCAAATTTCACAAGAACAAAATGCTGAATAACAATAAGAATTTGTCAATAATAATGAGATCTATCCTCAATTCAGTCAAACATAAAATTCTCACATTCTCTCTGAAATTATCAATACTCCATCTCAACCTAAATTACAAACTAAAAAATCAATATTACTTCCCTAATCAGGTGGATTATTTTCTTATTTAATTGATAATCAGAGCAGAATATATGATATCTTTTAAAATTTCCTACATCGATTATTTCAATACTATTTTATCAAAAAAGTGATGGATCAGAATATCATACAAAACTATATTGATTTATAGGCAGTCAAAAGAAAACTAAGTTATGTTTAATAGGTGTATAATTAAACCTTTTGTGCTTTAAAAAATAGCATATAATATTATTAAGATAAGATTTTGATATTGACATCAGAAATAGATAAAGAAGATCCTTATTCTTTATTGACTTAACATGAAATTGATCTTAGAAGAGGATTACATGATTTCTATTAATTTATAGATTCAGAAGACTTACTTACATCTAGTAAAGGTATGGGAGGAAGTTAAAATATGTATTTTATTCTAATATATTTCAAATTAGTAGTCAATATAAAACAATTTAGATTGAAGTATTCAATCCAGCTGATTTAAATTCACTTGACAAAGTTGCTTAATTTGTTTTAAATAGTATTGAACTAGAATAAATAAATATTACAGCAACACAATTATTGAATGATGATTTGTCATTGAATTTACTTAAAATAACAATGTAATTGTTATAGATATGGCAACATTTATTTAGATTTTTGAATTAAAATGATGTTAGCAATATTTAATTCAATTATGAAGTAGATTAAGCTAATCATAATGCTGCAATAGTTGCAGCTTAAACATTTTTATTAGTTCCTTTGGATATTGCAAACAAGATTTTGAAAGGACATTATAAAGAACTTATTAATTATCATCTAAATTCAAATAATAAATTACCACTTAAAGAGGAATATGAAAAGAAAAAAGAAGAAAAAGGTTAGGCTAAATTGTAATATACACTTCATTTTGATAAGACAGAAAACTTAATAAAAATAGCAGATGATGCATTAACAAATGAAGCAGAGAATTTTTCATTTTCAAATGCTGAACATTCATTAATGGAAGAATAATCTGATTAATAATAAACAATTCAAAAATATAATCATAAATATTAATTAAATTCAGAATAATATAAATAAACAATACTAGATCAGGCAGTTGAATTAAGTTTTAAAGGGAAAATTAATGAATCTCATTTATTAGATATATAACCTCCAAAACATAGATCTTATATAACTGAAAGTGGATAATAACTTTTAAGAATTACACCAATTACAATTACTACTTTAAATTGTCATAAACCTATAATTGAATTTAATCATATCAATTATTTTATTGATCCATAAAAAGAATTTCTACATTATTTCAAACCAAATACAAAATATTTCTTTTAATGGTAAATTGATGCTGAAAATGTTTAAAAGATTATTTGTGATGTAGAACATTAATTTACAAATGAATTGATTTCATTTGCATCTAAAGAAGGAATCATATTTTTATTTAATCCATTTTCTTAGTCTGCTGACAATGCTTTCTATAGATATAATGAATAAACATCAATATTGTAAGCTTTACCTAATATGATTGAAAAAAAAAGAAATTTTAGAGTTGCTTAAATAGGACATTATATTTATTTAATTGGTGGTGAAAATTAAAATAAATAAGTAAGTAATACTTGCGAAAGGTTTAGTCTAAAAACATTAGAATGGTAAAAGATTAAATCTATTTAAATTCCTTTAACAAAAGTTAATCTTGTTGTTTTTCAATAAAGATATTTGGTTAGATTTGGAGGGTTGAATCGTTTTGATCATTTTGATAAAACTATAGAAAAGTAAATTATTAAATAATTATTTATAGGTATGATACTAAAAGACATAAGTGGTATCAAATAAAATTGACAAGTGGATAAGATTAAATATTTAAATTGAATAGTGTTTGTCTGTAAATCAATTTTAATTCAATTTTAATATTTGGAGGTTAAAATGATAATGATTGTAGTGATGCAACAATATAATTACTTACAATTGATGAAGTTGATAAAAAAAAGAATGAATATGTTGCACATCTTTAGGAATTAAATATCTAATAATAATTTCTATCATTTATTGGTTAATATGATTTAAATGTTTACTACTAACATGATAGAATTTACTTATTTAGAAAAAACTACAGTTCATTATTATTATGAGCATTTTTTAAATGTTAAAATAAATATATATAAGTATTTTTTAATTTATTTAAACTTGTATTGGATTTTATGGATATTGTAAAATATTTCATATATAAATATATATAAATATTAAATATTTTTCTATTTATAAATTATATATTGACTAGTAATTTTATTAACAAATGAGTGATCTGATTTCAAAAACTTATAATAAAATTTCAGATGTTTTTTCAAGATCTCAGGTAAAGAAGGCTGTAGAAGGTTTACACACTTATTAACAAAGAGTGAAATTAATTGATCATATTATAGATAGAAGATAAGAAATAAGAAATGCTGATGATATTGCAAAAATTTAACAATATGCTCATATTTTTAAAAAAATGTTAAGGAGATATAAAAAGAAAAAGGATGAAGATAATGAATAAGAAAAAGCTAAATTAAAGATGGAAATGGTTATGTAATTATTTAGAGGAGAAAAGAAAAAGCAAACTTAAAATTATGATTAGGAACAATTAAAAAAATAACAATTAGCTAAATCAAGAAGAAATGCTTTACCATAATAAAAATAACAATAATAATAACATACTTAATCAACAAAGGTTGAAGATTCTAAAATGTTTGAAACATCTCCAAACAGAAATAAAAAACTTAATAGATTCTTCACTGAAAAAGATCCTATGCAAGTAGAGAAATAAGTAGAATAAGAAATATATGATTTCCTCTAAAAAAATCATGAACTTGATTAAGTTTAAAAAGATAGGTTTCTTAGATTGACTGATAAAAGTTAGTAAATACGATATATAGAAAGTAAAGTAAAGCATCAATTAGTTCTTCAAGAAAATTAATAACAATAAATGGCCATTAAAGTATTAGATTTTAAATATCAAGTAACATTACTAAGTGAAAAACCTCTTTCGATAAAAAAATAACAGAGGTCATACTTAAATTAAATTGGCAAAATCTTTTTAAGGAAAATTAAATGATTTTAAAATAGAGGGTCCTCTCACTTCCCGTAGATAGATAAATGGAGAAGATTCTTTTGCTTCTTATACAGAAATCAAATTAAATAAATTATATCAAGAATCATCATCTATATAAAAGACAATAAAAACAAAGACATTGTCTTGTCCAACAAATCAAATTTAAAACTATTTAATACATACTAATAGAGATATAATTGATATTTCAAACAAAAAATTATTCCATATTTAAAAGTTTAAATTATGATATATAAATTAGTATTAACTTTTTAGTATAACATCTAAAAATGTAAATCAAATAAAAAATAAAATTATTATTTAAATTACTTTATATTTCTAAGATTCATTCTAAATAAACTTTTGAGTTATATAAGAAAGTATCATTTATCTTATTAAATATTCTTAATTTAATAATTTTAATTATTATTGATTAATTTACACAAAAATTTGTAAAAAAAATGAGTATTGTTGCACTTTTCAAAAATTGTTTTGAACATTTTAAAGGCAAGTTTTAGAAGAATTATATTTCAGCATAAACACCAAAATAATTTGCCTAAAAGAAAGTTTTAGTTCTAGATTTAGATGAAACACTAGTTCATTGTGAATTTAAAGAAAATGAAGATTTTCAACATGAGGTATTGCTTGAAGTCATTCACAAAGGATAAGTATACAAAGTATATTTGAAAGCTCGGCCTTATTTAAATCAGTTTTTATTAGAAGTTAGCAAAGATTATGAAATATTTATTTTTACAGCAGGTTATGAAGCTTATTGTTAAGAAGTATTAAGTTTTATAGATAAAAAAAAAATAATTAGTGATTATTATGCAAGAGGGAGCTGTTAATTTATTGATGGAATTTGTTATAAAGATCTTTAGTTAATAGACAGACCTATGGGAGATATAATCTTCATAGATGTAATTAAAAATCAATAATTAGAATAATCCAAATGCTTTTATAAATTATAAAGATAATGGATTATTAATTCCATCATTTTTAGATTCAGATGATGATGATTGTCTTCTTCGATTAATACCATTTTTAAAATATATGGCTAAAAAGAAGGATGTGAGACCAGTTGAGTAGCATTTAAAAAATTATGAAGATAATAATGGTACAATAGTCTTTTGTGAAGCTTAAAATACTATATAATTAGAATAAGAAGAACCAGATGAAGATACCTTAAGTGAAGGAAAGGTTATTAAGAAAGAATAAGAAATTACAGATTTCGATATTAAACATAAAAAAACACAAACTCAATTAGAAAATGTGAACAAAATTAAAAGTAAATTAAGAAGCGTAACTTTATTTTCCAGTTCAAAAAATAAATGATTTTCACAACTTAAATTTTATCTTAGTCAGATGTTTATATGTAAACAAGTTTATATTTCGAAACTTCATAATGCTCTTGATTATAAATATGAGTTTGGATTTCTTTAAATCTTTTATCTGATTAAAATAATAATAAGCTAATATTGCTTTATATCAAAAATCAATCCTTTCAAATTGTTTTAGTCTATTCACATGTAATCTTAAAAGGACTTCTGATAATATGGACTTAAATTCGAGTATTAACTGTCTTAATTTTCTTATTAACTTCTAATTGGCAAAGGAGAATTTACTAAAAACAAATAATTTTATTATCTTACATTAATTTGGGCTAAATGTTGATAAATTTTTTTTAAGTGAATAATTTAGTTATGATTACATCATTCTTAATATTGGGGATAATGATTCCATTTATTAAGTTTGCGACTATGGAAGTTCTAGTTCTGTCTTGACATTAGCTTTAAATAAATCTTATCCATTATTATCTTTAATGTTTGTATCTTGTTATTTCAAAAAGAAACTTAACAAATAGCTAAGCCTATCAATTTTAGTATCTAATGATTGTCTAGACAAACTTAATTAGGACCATATAGAATTATGTTGTTCCATAATAACTTAGTTTTATTCACTTATCGCTTTGAAATCATTTTCAAATTATAGCTACCTTTATTTTAAGAATGTTAATTCTTATTCCATTTATTACTCAAATTCAGCCTCAGTTGATTCTGCTTTTACCTTTTTCTTTTCTTTCTTCAATAATACTTTCTATTTGATTGGGTTTCGTTTAATTTGAGATAATTGTTTTCTAATATTGTAAGAAATTAATACTTGTTTCCTTTTTTGAAATTTGGGTGGGTAAATATTTCATTATTCTCTGAATTCCTTGCCTTCTAGAACTCATACATGTTTAATTGTCTTAAAAAGGATTAATAGTGATTGTGTTTGAAATATTATGGCAATATCTGACTTTCCATTTCTTTGGGGTTCATTACAATGAAGTATTCACCATCGTCACTCCATTTAATTATTGTTTAAAATTATGGGGTACTCTTTATGAGATTATCATATAAAAATACTTATTCATCAAGCATATCATACAGTTTTATGATAAACGCAGGGGTAGAGAAGGGTCCTTATTGATTAGTCATTAAGAATTCAAGATATTTTTCTTTTTATATCTTATTAATTATATTTTGAAAATAAATTAATAATAACCATTCAATTATTAACCTTTCTTAGCCTTTTCTTTATGAAAAATTTATCTATACATTTTAATGATGAGTCCTAGGTAATTTAAGAATCTCCCTACCAATAAAAGAATAATACAGAAAAAGGCAATAGCTTAAAATTAAAAATTATTTTTAAAAACAATAATACATAATAATTTTGAGAAAATTGCAATTCTTCTTTTACTGAATTGATAAAATATAATCATCTAGCAATAGTTAGATTTAAAATATAATGCTAAACTAAAATCACATACTCCTAGAGATGTATAGTCATTATTTTATAATGTATTTCAAAAAATATATGTACATTGATTTCATTTTGTGTTTATATTGAAATTATTAATTGAATTTTAACAAAGGACTTACTCTCTCAGGCTTATTTATAAAAAAGTTGTTGAATAAATTACAATCAGGTATATATCATAATACAAAAATAAGATACACATAAAAAATAATAGAAATTTAGTTACTATATATATATAATAATTTAACATGACTTGAATATTTTATTATATCAGTTATGATCAAATTACCAAGCTAGATAATAATAAATATAAGTATAATTTTTAGAAAATTTTCATGAAAAATATTTTAAATAATTGCTCATAACATTCAATTATATGTCTTTAGAACAAATAAGTTAAAAATTAAGATAAAAAAACAAGAGAGAAATCAGTAAATATAATAAAATAAGTTATATAAATACATTGTTCTATTTATATTTTTTATAGACATTATTAATAAACATAAAACAATATTGCTTGCATTAATCTAGAATAATTCATATTCATATTAATATAATTCTAAAATCATTTTGGAAAAATAATAAATAAGTCTGTTATTTATTTAGATCAAGAAAAAGTATTCTTTATTTTAAATGATTACCAAAAATTTCTTTTTGTTTCTAGGATTGATTGGTAATATAATTTATCATTTATATTATATATTAGATCTGTTATTTGAGGTTTATTATTGATTTTTTGTTCTTAGTTTAGTAGCAAAAATAATTTTTCTGAAAATATTTTTATTAATTTGTATAATAATTATTAATATTTTTCATATAGATTTCTAATATTCAGATGATAAAATATGGAGAAATCATAATATTGAGACTAATTTATAAACACTTCTCACTTTATAAATGAAATTTTTAATATAAATATTTTTATTGAAAATTCTTATGCTTTGTATCAATTTATATAATTTATATCGCAATAGTTAAATTTGAAAAAATAAAAATTCCTAACTTTGTATAAAATTATTAAAGAAACTATCAGAAAGTATTTCAATAATCCTATTGATTATACTATAGAAAATATTTCAACATTAATGGTTGCTTTTTTTAATAGAAGAGAGGATCAGGGATAATACAAGAGATTAAATTGATCCCAATAAAATAAAAGAAAATCTATTAATTAAATAATGTTCATGAATCTAAAATTACTTAAAGTACCTATTGGGAAAGAATTATCATGACAATAATTAAAATTTGTTTAGTAATCGATTTTTGATTATTTGTAGATTTGTATTTGATTTTTGAGTTATTTACCTTAATTGAATAAGGATATTTGAAAAATGTTAGATTTCAGTATACTCAAAACATAAATAAAAGAGCATAGAAAAGTGATTGTTAAAAAGTAGATTATAAATATTAAGAATAAATTTAATTAAATGTATTTTATATATCTATATCATAATACCATTTCAATAGGAGGTTAACTTGCAGAAGTCTAATTCAAATCATCTTTAAATAGCCTTCTTTTCACATCGCTTTTGTGTTAAGGAATAAAGAGTTTATTTGATCTGCTTGCTCTTTGAGTGGATAAAGGATATTATTAAGTCCTATAAGAATCAATTAGTGAAGTATTATAACTAATTGTTGAAGCTTAAGAGCTAGCTTTATTTCCTTTTAGAGGGCTTGAAGTTCTATATAAACTATTTAATTGTTAATATGATGGTTTATTTTAAGAGTAGAGTACCTCTTTTTTGATTGGTTAAACTACTCTCTAAGGTGAAAACTACTTAATAGTATTTCCTTAAGGTGAATATTGAATTATTTTATAAGGTGATAGTTATATTTAGTGTAGATTTTTATTGAATATTTAATTAGTTCTTACATTTATCATTTAATTCAAAGAATGATTCTAAGAGTTCAATTGAAATTTAATTATTGAAGGATTTAAAGCTATTTCTTATTCTTTACTAGTTGATCTATATTATCTATTGTATAGAATTTCAGATAATTCTATGAAATCTGGTCTTTTCTCAGGTGTATTATTAAGCATTCTGGCTAATAATTGTAGTAGTTATTAAGAATAATCAGAAGATAAAGATATTACTGTTTCTTTTAAACTTGCATGGAATTCTAGTATATTAATTGATGTTACTCTTTTTAGTCATAAGTTCAATTATAACTTAAGCTAGATCATAAACATCTTATTTAATCTATTAATTGGTTGATTAAATTGTAATTTAATCCAGTGTTTTTAAAATTTAATCTGAAGTTATAAATATATGATCTAAAGTAATTTTTCCATGAGATTAAGCCTTGTTTTACAAGTATTTTAGTACACTGACTAACTATTCAAGTGACTAATAATTTAGGATTTTAAAGATTACCTTCCAAACTTCAATTTCTCTAAAAGGTTCTGATCTTGCACATAAATATTATGATAATGTTTGTGGAATATATTCAAAATATAATTATTATGTTTCTACATTTCCACAATATGAAGGAGAGTTTTGAGTACAAGCATAATATTATAATAGATTTGGATGCTATAATTATGTTCTCTTTGAATGAATAGTCAATAATATGGAATCTTAAAAGTATAAATGTCTTGTCTTAAGTTATTGATGTATATTACAAAAGAAAATAGTTCGAGAGAGGGTTTATTCTTCATTTTCCATAACTGGATATTTCCAAATGCTGGATGAGAGAATGTTCCACAACATTAAATTTAATCATTTAAATCAGAAGTGAAAGTCAATTCGGTATTATAATTCACAAAAGCTTAAACAGTGCCCATAATTGGATTTATTTAATATATTTAATTACGTATGAATAATTCTTAGCATTTAGTAATCAATTAAATTTGTATTATATATATATATATATACTTTAATATTTTTATAATTACTATAATTTATATGAATATTATTTAATCAACTGTTGATGAATTCATTAAAAATGAAATTATCGAATTTTATTACAACAGCAAATCATAATTCCATTAGACTACTTTAGAATATTTAAGAAATAGATTAAGCAGATATGGAAAAGGTGTCTTGATTTATATAAGTGATTGTCCAATTTCTCAATCAACTAGTTCTGATTAAATGGTATTGTACTTTCAATCCAAAAAAGAATATGTGTTTATTTGTTTAATTAGACAACTATTTAAAGAACCACCTAATCATGGTTAAAATATTTAATGTTCTTTAAGGGGATAGGAATATAAATTGAATTATCATTACTATTGAAATTATACTTATAATTGATATTCATTTATTTTATAGTCTCATACTAATAATAGTATATAGTATATTAGTTATTAAATATAAAAAAATTGATTAAGTGTGCTAAAGAAAAATAAAAAATAAACCATTAAAAAGTGATTTTAAATATAAAGATTTTTTAATTAAATATTAGATGTCTTAACAATAAGGAAAGGGTGGAAAAGCTTAACAAACAAAGACAGATGGAAAACCTGCAGCTCCAGCTAAAGTTGTCAAACCTTAAGAAACTAAGGAGAATGTAATGAGAAAGATTAGAATTGAAAAATTAATGGTTCATATTTGTGCAGGAGAATCTGGTGATAAATTAACAAAGGCAGCCAAGGTTTTAGAGGATTTAACAGGATAAAAACCAGTATTTGGTAAGGCAAGATACACAGTGAGATCTTTTGGTATCAGAAGAAATGAAAAAATTTCTGTATTCTGTACAATAAGAGGAGATGCTGCTAAAGATATATTATTTAGAGGATTAAGAGTTAAAGAAATGGAATTGAAAAAGAGAAACTTCTCTGATTCAGGAAACTTTGGATTTGGCATATAAGAACATATTGATTTGGGATTAAAATATGATCCATACACAGGTATTTATTATTATAAATGTTATTTAGGTATTTTTGGTATGGATTTCTATGTTATCTTGTCAAGACCAGGATTAAGAGTTGCTCAAAGAAAATCAAGAAATGCAAGATTAGGAACAGCTTAAAGAGTCTCTAAAAAAGAAGCTATGGAATGGTTTAAATAAACATTTGAAGGTAATGTCTATTGATATATTAATACAATACATTAAAATATAAATCAATAACAATCATTTTGAATATTAAGTAATTCAATATCACCTTCTTTCTGTTTATCCTTTTATTTTTTCATTTTTTTCTATATAAAATAAGCCTTCTTATCTTTCAAAGTATCTCTACCTCTAAATATAAGTCTATCAGAGAATGTTTCAGTAAACATAAATTCTTTTAATCCAAGAAAATTCATAAATCTATCATATAAATCAAAATAATTAATGAAACACAAAAAGAGTAATAAAGCAGGCATCAATTAAATAACATTTACTCCAAAAATTGGTACAAATTCCATCTTATTTTATATAATATAAAATAATTACTTCTCCCATAGCAAATTTAAATGCTGGCTCACAATTCAATCTTTATTTAACTCTTAACATATTCAGAAAGTTTTAGCATAAAGGAGCTGCTACTCTACTGAAATTTATTGTTGCAAATAACAAACTTGGTGCATCAGTTTAATGATCATCATATAATCCATAACATCCTGCTATCTTAATTCTAAACATTCCATAATAAACACAAAATGCTATATAAAACAAAGGAACAAAACAAAATATTTATAAGGTTATCACTCCAGATTATACTGAAATAGGCATTCCAAAAATAGTAAAAGGAGTATTCATAAATAAAGTAGTTTCTGATACAATTACTAACAATGATAAAATACCCAAAGCTATTGAAAAAAGTATTTTGAATTAAGGTTTGTAATAACATAACCAATACCATTCTAAAGTATCTAATTATTAAGAACAAGATCCCTCTTTTTTATTAGATTTTAAATCATAATGAATTTTTTTATCAGGATTTTCTATTGAATTTATAACATTTTCTAAGGCATATGCTTTCTTACAATTCTCCTTCCAAGCTGCTCTTAATCTTCTAAATGTTCTTGCTTTTTATCTAATATCTCTGTATATTTCAACCATTTCTTCATCAGTAGCTTCAGGTTATTCCTTATAGAACATTCTTTATAAATAAGAAATTCCTGGAGCCTTAGATTTGATATCCTCTTCTAATAAATCCTTATACATAGATTTAGGAATTGCTTGAATACTTTTCTATAAATATTTTTTTGATGATTATTATTAAAATTTCTCTTAATTTCTTATACCAACTACTCGCTTAGCTTTTTCTTATAATTCATGTTAAGCTTCATCTTTTTCCTCTGTTATTTTAGCTGTTTTAAAATACAAATATCTCATTTGAACATCCAAAGTGGAAGTTCTCACATGAGCTCTTGGAACTGCAATGAGAGAATATCTTATTTATACAATATGTTATAATTACCCCAACAATACTATAATCAAAGCTACACCAAAAGAATTAGCCATACTTTTAAGCAACTTAGCCAATCCATAATCTGATGCTTATCCTGTAATCAAAAGTATGACAACAAATATTATGCCAGCAATTCCAATTACTAAAAAAAATTTGCCATTATTAATCAATGATCTCATAAACTTTGAAGTTTGATTAAGATCTATAGCTTCTTCATATTCCTACATTATTGGAATAATTGTCCAGCAAAGTATGAAATTAGTCCAATACAATATTTAATATATCTTTATTGATATGAAATATTACATTTGCTATTGCTTCATATTCTCTGGAATGAACTTCTAAACCATTCTAATTACTATATGTTTCTTGATCTCTAAATGTTATATAAATATCTAATGGTAACAAAATAAGTAAAATGAAATTCGTTAACCAAGAAATCAGACATGTAACTTTTACAATAAAGTTAACATCTTTGCAGCAAATATTGTTAATTAATTTGGCACAATATATAGTAACTAGAATGATTTCAAGCAATGTTAATATATACATATTAATATTAATTATTCTAATTTACAAAATATCATTTCTTTTCTCTATCTATATATATATATTTCTGTAATGTAATTTCATCAAATTTAATACTCATCTTTGTAATTTCATCAATCCAAAATATATTAGATTTATATATTATCTAATAAAATCTATAATCAAGTTTAATCAATCAATAGAAGTAAGTCAAGTTTCATGATAAAAGACTCTAAATAACATATAATCAATTAAATCTATTAATTAGAAATAAATATAAATAAAAAATTTATAATGTTTGAATAACCATTTACAAGACATAATAGAATCTCAGAAAACCTTAAAAAGATTAACGTATAATAAAAATATACATTCGACACTCTTTATGATGATATAGGTGTTGGCTTTTTAAATTAATCATTAATTTTTAAGTTATTTTAAAAGAGATTCAAAATAAAGAGTGCGCTGTTTTTGACAATTGTATTTATTTTATTCTTGACAGCCTATTCTATGGCCACTTCATATATCAGCCATATTATGTTGATTGTATATGCAATTTTATAAACAACTTATGAAATTCAAAGGTAAAAAGATTCTAAAAAGCAACTATTAATATTTTGGCTAATATTTTCAACAGATCTTTTGATAGAGAATTATTTTGCCAGAGAAAAGTTTACATTAATTAGATATACTAAATTTATTATTATACATGCTTGTTTTATGTATAGATTATATATCCTATCCTTTATTTTATAATTGGTATAATCAATAAATATATATAATATAGTATGATCTATTGACAAAAGGAAAATACTTCATGAATCCTTAGACTTCTAATAAGTCCTATTTTAAATGATTTTATTCTTTTAATTTGCATTTATAATATTTTTACAAACTATATAATTAATTCTACATTTATTTATAAAAAATAATAATTTAAATCGAAAGTTATTATTATTATTTATAAATTTATAAAATATAATTGATTGATATGAATTAAATTATATATTAAATAGAATATATTTTTTAAATATTGTTATGCTATAAAGCCCCTTATTTGTATATTAAAAGTGTATATCTATGCTATTAAACTATTTTTTTTAACAAAAAAATGAAAAAATCTTAGAAGACCTATTTTAAAAGGATATATTGAATAAAAAGAAAATAAAAATAAAAATAATAAATATACAATCAAATGTATATTCATCAAAACAACTTCTCCATTTATAGAATGACCTTGGATAATTATATGAAAGGTGATTAAATTGAATCCATAACTTCTGAAATTTCTTAGGGTATGGAATAGGATTCTAATCATCCATAAATATATGATGATAGTGAATAATTTTAATTATTCTAACATAAAGATATGGGAGATTTGAGTGATACCTTAGAAAAAGAATATAACTCATAAAATATTGAAAATGAATTTTCTTTTACAAATGGATAATAATATTATAAATAAAATAGTCTATCATCATAGAACTCCTCATCAAAAACCAAATATGATCTATAAGAAAAAGATGATGAAAGTTAATCAAGTAGAAAAAAATTGATAAAAAAAGTATTCTATTTAAATAAATTTTCAGTAAAAAATATAGACAGCCCTTCCTGGAGAAAGCAAAAACTTACACAAATGTTATGGAAGATAATTATAATTATTCATAAAGAATTTTTGTAATAAGACAAATAACCTTATAGTGAAAGAGAATCAAGATATTATGTAGTTTTTATAAATTCCAGGGGATAAAATAGGAAAATTTGAATTAAATTAGATTCTAAATTCTCCATTAGGGAAGATAATCTCTAAGGAATTTTTTGGATAATGTTTATGGAAATATAATGTTGTCAAAGAATCAAAGACTAGTGTCTCATCTCTTTTCAGACACAACATTGAACCTTTTTGGGAAGTTAACAAAAAAAAGAAATTAGCAATGTGAGATACTATTGCAAATGATTAACAATATTTTATATATAAAATTTTCTATTATGATGACCATAAATTATATTATTATGTTAGAAGAAAGGTTGAGGAAAAAAATAAAATTTTAATAAAAATACTTATATAAAAATGTAAGAATCGAGAGTTCAATTAGCTTTACGTGAAATTTCGATAATCAAATAGGCTATGTCATCAAAAAAGAAATATACTCCTATGAAAGATTCTCTTAACAACTTTTAAAAAGTTTTAGAAGAAAATAAAAGGAATGGTGTACAAGATATCCCAAGATAGGAAATATAAAAGATTTTAATACCTGCTTCAAAAGAGTTGAAATCAGCCAAATTTCATACAACATTAATTTGTTTTTTACTTAAATTGATTAACCTAAAAGTGATAAATGATGTATGCAAAATTATTTATATTTTAGATTTAAACAAGTGAAGATGTTCTGGATTACTTTCTGAAAATTAAAGAAATTCAAAAGGATGAATTGCATTATAAACTAATACAAAGTTTTATGGCTTTTATACATTAAGACTTCATCAATTTTCGTAATTATGGTTTTGTTGAAAAAGTAGAATAATCATACTATTCATTTAGTGTCTTACATTTGTACTTTATATGAAAAATTCTAAAATGCCTATAATATATGCATCAGCAGAAACATCATTAGATAAATTAATTGAATTATTATCAGGATCGACACAATTAATAATAGCTGGTCAAGGATTTGATGACATGAATATTATTATTGATTTAGACAATTAGCAAGAATAAAATTTATAATTAGCTACTTCCAATACTCCAATAGATCATTAAAAAGAAGTGTAAAATCTACATACTATATTGTCTGACTTGATTAAGATATGCGATTACATTCGTCCTCATTGGTTTCCTCCATCAGTTCCCCTTGATAGAGAGTTTGGATTGTCAAGTATTAACAGTTTTTTATCAAATATGGGTAAATTCTTTACTTAATTCACAATCATATAAGAGTTACTATCAAATAATCTGATTTAAGTTCTAAGAAAGATTCTTGCAATACCAATTAATATGATAAAGAGCTCAATTATTGTGGTAGCATTTAAGTGCTTAACATTTTTAGTGGATGGACCACAATCAGGAGAAGTTTGGAATATCTTAATTTAATAGATAAAATCAAATGAACATTCGATACATAAAAATTTGGGATTGTAAACCTTAATCTATTTTGTATAAAGTTAAATATTTTTGGATTAATTGCTTTTACTTCCATTAAATGAAAAAGTATATTATATAATAATAATATTAATAGAATTATATTTTAGATATTATTACAATGTTATCTGGATTGGCTAAAGATATCTCTGATCCTACTGAATTAGAATAAAAAAGATGGATGGATATGACAAGTCCTACAATTAATTTATAATAAAATTCTGAAGCACATCCTAGTGACAATGGTTTAGTATGTAGAATGTTAAGTGAATTTTAATCACGTTTTGTAAATTCACTATGTGTTTATGCTGATTAATAAAAAATATAATTAGGAAATTTAATTAAATTACAACCAACAGATAAATTTTATCAAATTATTGAATTTACTTGGAAATTGAATTTAAGAGGAATTAAATATTTATTAACTAAGGATTTAGATGAGTAAACTTTATAAAATTTATTATCAGCATTTTAATAATATATTAATATAGTTGGTTCAATATAGATGAAGGCTGCTTAGAATGCATTTATAAAAACTATTTGTGAATTTTGTAAACCTTAAATTGGATAAGAATTTACAAAAAAGCATATTTAAATTAATAAAATGGTACTCAATATTGCTAATTGTCTTGGAAGTATTATATTAATTAATTATTTATTTAGATTTACTAGAATGTAGTAGTTGGATTTGTATATTTAAGACATTTGAAGAATGTGAGAATCATTATCTAAGAAATCGTCTTGCTAAAAATTCAAGTTAAGAGGAATAAATTAAGACACTAGATATAACAATTTTATTTTAAAGTTTGGATTAATTATTTTCATAAAGTCCTACCTATGGAAATGAGCATTTGATAACAGTGATGGATGCTATTAATTAAATAACTATTGAATGTTTAGAGTAATTAAATTCCTTAGAATTAAAAAGATCTAATTCATAATTTGGAGATTAAAAGAAATATTTTTCTCTTTCAAAATTAGTTGAATTAATTAAATTTAATGTATTTAGATTAGATATATTTTGGGAACTTATCATTGCTCATTTTATCTCAGTTATATCAACACGTAATACTAATTTAGTTTTAAATGCAGCTGATACATTGTCTTAAATAATTTTTTATGGTTTTGAACATTGGACTTAATTTTATAAGAAAAATTAATAGCATCATTCAGAATATATTAAAGAGAAATGGTTTAAAACTGATTCTATATACTAATAAACTCTCTTTTAACCATGGATTGATATGTGTAAATTAAATTAAAATGATTTAAGAGAAATAATTTTAAATAATGTATTAAAGATGCTACAAAATAATGGACATGAAATTTAATAAAAAGGATGGGATTCCATATTAAACATATTATTAGAAATAGGATCAGAATAAACAACTATTTTTGTTAAGTAAGGATTAGCATGTACAGAATATATCATTAATCAATTTCTTTCAAATTTAAATGGTGAATAAATTAAAAAATTATTTGAAATTATTGATAAATACAAATCCAATTCAAGTAATTACAGTTTATAATTAAATAGACGAATAAAATATAAATTTCTAGATTTGTAATATGCTTTGGCATCTGGGAGATTTCATAACTAAAAATCATTCACATAATACTGAATAGAATAATATATTAACCAACGAAGAACTTGAATTATATTTGCCTGAGATTTTTTAAAAATTATCTATTATTGCTTTAGATCCTATACCTGAAATCAGACATTCAGCCATTCATATATTTAGCAATCTTTTGCTTCATTTAAATTGTCAAAATTTATATTCATAATGGAAAAAGATTTTAGAAAATATTTTCATGAAATTAATGCACAACATTAATAACACATTCTAAGAAAAGAATTTAAATAAAGATTTAGATGTAACACAATGGGAAGAGACTGTAAAGAGTGTTATATAAGCATTTATTAAGTTAATAAAAAAATATTTTCTGATTATTGATGAATCATCTTAAGATAAGTAAATAATTTATTTATTTTAGAGATTAAGATATTGAATTATTGATCAAAGAAACTACACCAGATTTAGTTATTATATTTTAATAGAATAAACCATTCCTTAGTTTAGAAGCAGCTAAATAAATGAGAGAATTATTCCTATACAAACCTATTGTTTGTCTTAATAATTTCTCTAATGTAATTGATTAAATATCAATTCTTTTTGGTTAATAATACTAAGATATTAAATATATTAAGACTCTCATTTTACATATTGCTCCAGAATTACTGGAATTATTCAATGATATTATAAAATTGGCTTCAAACATACTTATTGAATAGGTTTTGGATATTTATTATAAAATATTAGAATATCCTATTATAGTTCATTCTAAGATTGATCTAATTCAAAATAAAATCTTTTTTGAAGACAACCTAGCTCCTAAATAATTGATGATGACTCTTTAGTAAAATTTATCTAAATAATCACCTAAATTGACTTAAAGAATTATAGCAAATATATATGAATTAATTAAAGAACCCCCTAATAATAAATTTAAACATATCTTAATAAAAAGACATCTTTTACAACTCAATACAGTTTTAGATAATAATATTGATTTTTTCTTTTAATTTTAAGAATTATATGAAACAATTATTTTAACTATGAGAAACAATGATTAATATTTATATTTTACTGAAACCTTAAATGAAGATAAGTCCATATATATGATGATGGCTGAAAATTATCTTTCAAGAGCTAAAACCTATCTAATTACTAATGCTGAGGGTTAGCTTAAGATAATAAAAACATTATAATTAGTATTGCCTGATAAATCAGTTTGCGAAAATTTCTAATAATAGAGTAAGATCTTAAATTTTGAAAATCAATTACTCCAATCCTAATATATAGAAGAAATTTCATAAATTTATGTTAGTAATCCTCAATTATCCGATTCATCGGAATTTAAGGAATTCATTCAAAAATTGTATGAGTTATCTTAATATTCGAATATTGCTATTCATAAATTATGCATATTATCTGAAAACTCTAAAGTTCTTTAATATTTACTTGATGCAAGCCAAAAGATTTTGTAATCTTCCAATTCTGAATAATAAAATAATGATAAGAAATTAATTGATTTGTTAAATTATCTATTACAAACTAAAATACCAGAAAATTCATTTAAAAATTTCATATCATTGGATGGATAAGAAATTTCATATGGAGAAACATCATTATTGTAATCAAATATAGGCCATTTATTTTATTTGATGCCTTTCCTTGTATAATTAATAGGACATTAATAAGATGATGTTAGAATCAAGGTTTAATAAGTTCTATCTAAAATTTCATAAATGGTAGTGAAAATTGATTGAAAAAATATTAAATACATTTATAATTTCAACTAATTTGATAATTTTATTACAATATATTTTTGTATCATCTTAGAATAATCTAAATATACTATTATTTAAAAAAACTTATTTTATTTTATATTAAAATTGTATAATTGTAATACATTTGATTAAATTAAATATTTAGTGATTCTATAAAGAGATATATTATGTTTTATATGTTAAATCTACCAAAGGAAATAATTTATAATGATTTTTGACAAAATTAATATTATATTTCTTATATTGTTATTATATTTCAATTTTTATACTCAATTTTCTTTACTAAAAGTTTAGATTATCAATCAGAAAAATTCTATAATTTATTGACAATAAATATATTTTGACTATTTTCTCTATTATTTATTTTTAAACTTCTCTTATATTGAATGAAGATAATTAGATAATGATTCAATATCTGTAAATATAACTTCAGCAATGTAAAAAAAATCTGTTATTATAATTGATCTTGTTAGAAGTAATAAAATTTTCTTTTTAAAAATATGATATTAAATATTTGATGGTCTGTAACTATTTATATATTATCAAAATTATTACATCATAAGGGTCATATTAATGGATATCTAAGATAAATATTAATATAAATAAGTTTAATGAATATCATATTCTATGCTATCATTATTGGTTACGTAATTAGCGAGGTAATGTTTCAAGTAAGTTATTTTTAGAGTGATTTAGACTAAGCTTATAAATATTTGATACAAAATTAAGATCAATTGATGCTTGGTTAATGGACAGCAAGCTCAGATTATTTAGTATACATCAATGTAGTGTATGATAATCAAAATCTAGTAATGTAAGTTTATCCAAAAAAACACAATTTGTTACATGAGAAACATTATTTTAGACTTAGTTATTCTCTTCTAAACAATTCATATCATTTTGATTCAAACTAAAAGTATCCATGTTGAATATAAATATATAGACTTATGACTTGGGAAAATATAGATGTTATAATTGAATTATAAAACAATTAGAAACATCCTCTTACTATTTGCAAAGCTACTCTGCAATTAGAAGTTTCAACTAAAACAATTATTCTACATAGTTAATTTGCTGAATAATGCAATGTAACTGAGGAAAGAATACGTCTATTCATATTCAGTAATTCAACTTACTAAATGTAAGTCTTTACATACTCAACACTAATAATATTCATATCCCTAGTCTAAATAATATGCTCTCATTTATACTTAAAATCAGATCCTGCAGCAAATTAGGGAGCATCAATGACTATATCCATAGTTTTGACTTAAGATATATTCATTTGTATTTTTAGCTCAATGCTATTTGATATTCCAAGATATTATTATTTCTTCCCTTGTTTATTTTGTTAGTTGGTAGCAATCTTTTATGATCTCAAATTAAAAGCTAAACTCACTGTAATTATTAATATACTATCAATTTAGAACATGGAAAGATAAAAGAAGAGATATTTAATATTATAAATTGTTGAAATTTTATCAGTCACTTTTTTATTCTTAAGAATTAGACATTCAATTGAATTAACATTACTGAATATATTTTTAATTCCTTAAATTGCTATTACTTTTTATACAGGAGAAAGACAAAGATTTAATAAATACTATATTGGAGCTATTTTTCCAAGAGCTTTATTGTCAATATATGCAAGGGGATTTTAAGATAATATTTTATAACTATTACAAAAACTTCATGTAGTATTCGTTATAGTGCTTATTCTTGTGATTTAGCTTCTAATTTATTATTGTTAAAACCAATTCAGATGGTTCATATTAAAAAGGAATAAATACAATTACTTTATCAAATAAACAGATGAACACACATAATCAGATTGTGCAATATGTTTATTAAATTTATCATAAATTCCTGAATATACTTTAAATAAAGGGGAGTCTTTTGTACTACAAACTATTAATTAAGCATCTCGAAATAATTTATTAATGAACACTCCTTGTGTAAATTAAATATATAATTAAATTAGAATCATTAATTTCACCCTTCCTGCTTAAGTTAATGGATGTAAATCAATCTCTCATGTCCGTTGTGCAAAAGTGCTTTACCTTAAGTATTTTGAACTTTAGAAGATTCAGAATATTTTTTGTAGATATAGAAAATATTTTAGAAATACTTTTATAAATAATTTTTCTCTAATTTCTTTATAAATCATGATTCCCTAACTTAAATAAGAGTTCATTTTAATAATGTCAATCTAATTATAATCTTGCTTCTTTGAATTTCTTTTAAATAATATTATTCTTTTTAAATATAGATAGTATTATTTGAATTCTTTGATCAAATTTTCATTTGATAATTTATTAAATTTGATTTTTATGTAAATTTTAAGTTTTTTTATTGAAATTCTTTAACAAAAATAAAATTATTCAAATTTATACTATCCTTTTTAGATGATTAATTTGTCTTTAAAATTCATCTATAATTTTTTTTATATTAAATTAAATTATATTTTAAATTTTAATGGTATAAATAAAGAAAATATAATTGATAAATTCATACTTCAAGATCTTTATTAATATTGAATTTGATATTCTATTTTGTTTATTTATTTCTTTAATTATTGTTTTTTTTATTTTATATACATTTTTTGTATAGTGTTTGTATTTAATTGTATTATTTTGAATATTTCTAATTGAATTCTTTTTAGCCATCTTCGTACATTTAAGGTTTTTACTTTACACCCTCTATAAATTCAGTTTCCCCTTATAATTTGACAAAGTTTTAGTCATTAATTAATTTTTAATATGCTAACACTCTTTTCTTTGTGATGTGTTGGAATTTCTTTTCAAAAGTATTTCTGCTTGATTCTTTATCCATTAGCTTTAATAATAACACAATTATTATGTTCAATAATTAAATTTATATTAATAAAATGTATCAGAATTTATAAGTTATTCTTTAATTGTAAATATCAATAAAATATTTATATAGTTTTATAACTTTGTCATTATAATTTATTATTCATTAGTTTTTAATATATAGGAATCAAAATCTATTGAATAAGAGTTAATTTGTTCATTCTACTTAATCTTCAGATGAATCTGATATCATATCGAAGAAAGACTCTTATTTAGTATTCTTGTTTTTTTATTTTTAGATCATTTGCTATTTGGCCTTCATTTGTTATATTTATTTTCTGGCTGTCTAATTAAGATGAACAAAATCATTATCTGACATCTTCTTCACTTTATATAATCTATCAACCATCCCTTTGAATTCATCTCTATTTAATACTCTTTATTTCTTTATTGTAGGATAAAGCATCACTTATCCATCCAATCCTTTCTTTTCACATAAACCAAGCATTAGCAGTTTCTTTTTTAGAAAATCCTCTTCTGTTTATAATTACCACTAAATATATAGACACTAATTACATCATCCATCTTATCATTGCATTTCTTAATCAATTCTTCATCCTTTTCAATCATATCTATTACATCAGCCTTATAATTTTCATTTTAAAAATGATTCCTAATTTCTCTTTATAATAATTTATCCATAATAATAAAATATTATATTAATACGCAATACTAAATGAGATAAAATGAGGAATTCTTATTGATTTATTAATCATTACTTTTCTAAAATGATAAAAATAATAAGATGAAAAATTAATTTGACAATTATCATATTTATTATTACAATCAAACAGATTCTTACTATTACAGAAATAGATTCTATTATTATGGATGTACGCTATCCTACTTCATTATCAAAATCCATTTAAAAAAGGTTTGAGATAAATCCTTCATTTTTTTTTGTAAAAAATAGGATGAAAAACCAAATGAGTTTAATGATGGATATAGACCAAGTTTTAAATTAATGAAAAACTATTTAATTTCTTCTTCTTTATTATATTTTTTATGAGTTTATCTCTATATTTTGTTTGTTCAAATTTAACTTTTTTATAATTATACACATTATATATAAGAAAAATTAATAATATTAAATTTCTTCCAGAAAACTAAAAAATTTGTTCATTCTATCATCACTATTTTTTCAAAAAGTCTAAAATTGAGTCCATCATGATATAAGCAAAATTTAATTTAAATTTTAGATCATCTAAAATTAAATCATCTGTTAGAGAATTTAAATTCCATTTTTATAAAGAAAAATAATATTATTTTGATATAATCATGATTAATAATTATATACTCTGGTATTCTCTCTTCTCATATATTAGATTAATATTTATTTTTGGATTCTTACAAACTAATTCTGGGATGCCATTTTATTCACTATTTTTACTATTAATTAAATAATATCCAATTTAGTCTGTTACTTTGAGTTAGTTATTTTTACTTTAATTTATTGGTTGTTTATTGTAGAATCTTTAATCCTTAATTCCTATTAAATATATTATTACTATTGTTTTTTCCTCAATATTCTTATGTATGTATATATAGTATGGATAACAGATATTTAAAGTTTGAGATTGGCATTATTTATAGAGAATCATAAGATATATGTTATTATTAAAATTTTGACTATCTTTTAGATAAAGAGATTTATTTTATATATTTTGCTCTCAGGAACCTAGTATTTAGTAATTTCTCTGGGGAAAATTGAACATAAATATATAATTCGATTATTATTTATCTATATATTCTTTTTTGACATATAATGAATATATTTACTTCATGAATAAATTATAATATAATTTTTTTTTGATTATGGATTAAGAAGATAATTATAGTCAGTTATATAAAAAGGATAATATAGGTAATTATTCGGAATCATAAGATCAACTACTAAATTTTAAATATTCATCTTAGGAATATTATTAACATTATTACTAGAATAGTCAAAGTCAACTTGAAGAAAAGAATAGTTAATTTTTAGAATAATAACAAATAAATGATATCCCAATAAAGGATCTTCCAAAAATTTTGAACAATTAATTTTCAGTATACTCAAAAATAAATGATATCCAAATACCAAGTCCTCTAGATGAAGGAAAATAGTAAGATGAATCTTTAGTTGATTATTTTTAATCACAACCGCATTAATTACTAAATTCGTGTTCACCTTAATTTCCGATTAATGATTTTCATACAAATGAACAGAACTTAAATTTGAATTAATTTAATGTGATATCTTAAAATGGTAACTTCCCTTAACAAAATCAGCAGGTTTAAACATCTACAGAGCTTCTAAAAAATAAAAAAAAATAACTAAAGCCACAAGAAAACCAATCATAACACTAAGAACCTTAAGTATTTTAAAATGAGCAAGAACAAAAAAAAAAAAGGTAAATGAAAAAAAAAATTTACCTTAGTTTTTTAAAAAATGTTTTATCAAAATTTTAAAAAAAGCTTTGAAAAATGAATAAGATAAAAAAATGGAAAATATTCTAAACTATCTATTAGAAAATAAATATAAAAATAGTTGGAAGTAATTGGGGAAAATTTTAGATGTGGAAAAGTTCAAAAAACTTGTAATAGAATATTTTCACTCACTTGATTTTATATAAGATTTATTAAATTCAAAGAGATTAATTGATGTCACCCTTGTGTTAAAATATGTTAATACATTGTTGAATATGAGTAACAAAAATAAAAAATTCAATTTTAAAGATAATTCTTGAATAAATAAAAAATTATGCAAAATAAATTATAATTGTTATTTATAATATTAAATTAATAAAATATTATTATCTACTCATTTTGATGTAACTATAATATACTACAAGAATATAAGAAATAAATGATGAATATAGAAATGATATTCTTAATTGAGATTAAAAACTAAAAATTATTAATTAGAAATATTAACAATTCATTATGTATTTAAAAGAGTTTAATAATGCTCTATTTGTTCAGCCCATGCTTTTTTATTTTCTGTTATTTACTCAATATATCCTGATAATTATGGAAGTATTTATGATATCGTATTGTAGTATGGAAGAACCTATGAATAGTTTTTGCTATTACCATAAAATCAATGAATCCTATTTGGCTTTTAGCAACATTTGTAGTTCTCCTGTCACAGAGCATTGTTATTGGAAGACCTAATTCCTTCTCTTTATCACCTTGGAGCCAGAATTCTCCCAGAACTCTAAAGGTCCATTTTTCATAATTTTGCATGGGCTTAAAAGGATTGCTAATATCTGCAGCATGTAATAATGTATCAAAACATATTCCTTTATCTTTCGATCCAGGATCAAAATCATTTGAAGCTAATCTTGCTTTTAATTTATTGTAATCTAATGAAAGATAATTTAAATACCTTTTCCATGCATTGCATTGTCAGTACTAAGAATCATATTGATAGATTTTTCTCTGAAGTATTTAAAATCTGATAATGTAAAATGAACTAACAAATCTGTATCTCTAATGTATCTGAATAATGTAGATGCATGATGTTATTCAAGGGGAGACTTATCATTATATGTCATAGCCAATTCATGTCGAGTATTCGATAGGAAAATATTATTCAAACCTGGATGATCAACATCATGTGCTGCAGCAGACAATAAAAGAATAGAATAATCAAGTTTTGATAGTTTCCCTATTTCCTTAAAGTTGCATTTTTCAATAAAAAAATACACAGTATGTGTGACATCAAAGGCATGAATAACATTATGATACAAATTTTCTTTGTGATAACTTGATCCTAGTTTGTCCAGACATTTTTTAAAAGAATCTGGAGACATTCTCAAAGAACTGAATAACTATTCTTTTTGAAAATAGTAACACATTAAATAGGTCAGTATGGAACTATCATATTTTTAAAAGAGAGAAAAGTAATCATAATCTAGTTTCAAGATATTTTATTCGAAATCCTACTTTAATTGTTCTGGCAAATGAGATTCATCAGAAAATTAGATATCAGAAGACATTGAGCGTTTCAATTCATGAGAAATCTATTATTGCTATTATGGTTGATAGAGCCAACCTAATGCTTCACTTTTTTTTCCCTCTATTATGGGTTCATAAACAGTATTATTAGATATATGTGTTATACCCCAATTTAATTATTTTATAATATCTGGATCCTCAAATTAATCTGCAAGATCTCTCATAATTTCAATTACTTTTTCAACTGGGGATCGTACAACATATCTTGCCCCAACATTATTTATCTTTTTGACTTGATTAAACTGTAGGAAAATATTATGAAATTTACTTTGCGGAAGACTAAAAACAATCTTAAAAATCTGAAGATACCCCTTAGAACTTTGCTTATTGTTGTAAATGCATCACCTTCTAGATTTAGATCTAGAATAATTAAAACAATTGAAGCAATAATAATAAGAGCATCAAAGACAGACCATAAATCTGAAAAGTATGTCTAATATATATTAATATATCATTTACTATAAATCCAACACTGATAAATCGTATTGATATTTCAAAAACAAAGAGAATAAGGATAACCAATTCAATTATTTTGGTTATAAAGAGTGTCTTTTCTATATCTGCATCTTCCTTAGCATCGTTAGCTATACATATTATTACCAAGTAAGTTACATGTAAATGAGAAGTTTATGAACACCAATAAAGTAAAGAGGACAACTAAAATAATTACGACCTTATCTATCAGTGGAATACCAACCTGTTTTTGATCAGTGATTCTTTGATTATTATTTATAATTACTCATCACCAACTACACGATCAAACCCATCTACATTATGAGAAGACCTACGATCTCCTAAAATGTTGGAAATTTCCTTAGAACCTCTTGGAACTACTTTTATTCCCATTTAACCTATATTCTTTTTAGAATCCTCTTTCAAGTTTTATTCTTCTGCCATATTTGTTTATTTTATTAATAAATTATTTCAATGTTTGAATCCTAGAATGTACATCAAACCACAAATAATAGAAAACAAAATTTTTGAAAAAACTTAATTCTTAAGTTATCATTTTTATCTATAAAAATAGCCTGAACATTAAAAATTCAATTATGTTTATTAATAGATTATATTTTCAATCAAAACGTGGACCTTCTTCAATTTATCCGTCGATAACTAGTGTAACACAATATTTTACTCATATTATCTTTCTTTTTTTCAATATTGAGGTCTTATCCTAACTATATTTGGAAAGGGATATTAACAAGCTATTGATATGGCAATTGAGCAAACATTTGATTCAAAGGAGTTGGATAAGGGAAGATAATATGTTATGGGAAGTATGGAGGTTATTGAGGATTGAAAGGATTATATTATTCTTAAATAGGTTATGTTTTTATTCGTTTAGTTAAAGATGGTTCAGCAGGTTTTCTACCTCTTTTTTTTGGTTCTACTTATGGGCCAGGGTTTTTTGGTTTTGGTCCTCTTTTTTTTGGGATTGTAGATGTAGCTACATCAAAACAGATGTCATTTTAAAATTTATTTTCATCCTTACTTTTATAATCTTCATTTACTATTTTTAATATCACATGAACAAATTCATGTCTGTTAAAACTATTGATGTGATCAGCAGATTTGATATGCTAAATTATTAGATTCCTAAATTTACATCCAAATAATCTGCATAAGGTTTACGACAAACTCCACAATATCTGTGTTTTCTGCCTGGTTTAGGAATTTACTATTTATAAAATTATGTATTACTAATTTAGTTTTTTTTGTTGTGTATTCCTAAACTTTTTTTTAATGATCCTCTTTATATTTCTACATGCTCTTTATATAGTCATTCTAATTAATGTATTCATTTAAAATATACTCGATCCACTTCTAAAATGAACCCTGGTAAACACTACTATTCATCTTAATTGAAAACAGGAACAATATTTTCATAACAAGATAACTAAACACAATTAATTTAGATCTCATACAGTATCATTATATAAAGGGCAAAAATCAATGTTGGTAACATTTTTTAGCCAACATTTTGTACTTTTGGGTTGGAGATTGAATTGATGTTCAGGACATTTAGGCTGACACTTGCGTTTGCCTGAACTTTATAATTTTTCTCCAGCCATTTAAATTAATTATATATTAGATATTCAATTATATTAGTTTTCATGTAGAAGTTGGAATACTTTCTAAGAAAAAATAACAAAGCATTTTGATTTTAATAATCTACATCTTGAAAACAATCTATTTCTTATAAAACACAATAATAATTATTATTTAATAATGCAATATATTGATTAAGGAAGTGCACTTTCTAACAAAAATGTTCCAGGAAGAAGATTACAAAAGAAGAACTCCCTCTTTTATCAAGTAAGACTATTATAAAAAGCATAGTAATCTGTTTTAGAAAATGAGGAATTCACACAACGCTATTAAAAGAATGTCGATGAATTGTAAGTATTTAAGGATGATCCTTATCTTGAACCTCACAAATAGCACTTCTAAGTTAGAAATGCTAAATTCTTCGAATTACTTGAATAGATAGTCAAAGTGGAATCTTCACTTAAAGAATTTGCCAAGGGGTATCTAGATCTATTAATAATAGATATGAGAAATATGGATTTTTGATTTCTGACACTGGGATTACATATAAAGAATGGGCTCCAGGAGCAAAAGAAGTTTATTTGACAGGTGATTTTAATAATTGGGATAAAATGCAATATTCTTTAACCTCAGATTCTTTTGGAAATTGGGAAATATTTTTACCAAGAAATGAAGATGGTTCCTATTTAATTCCACATGGTTCAAGAGTTAAGGCATACATAAAGAATGCTAATAATCAATACTAATTCAGAATACCAGCTTGGATTCGAACTACATGGCAGAATGAAGAGAATAAAGTATTTATTGAATAATAGTATATTTTAGTTATATGATGGAGTATTTTATAATCCAGAAAATAAATACGAATTTAAACACAACAGACCACCAAAACCTAGATGTCTAAAAATATATGAAGTACATATAGGAATGGCTGGTATTGAGCCAAGAGTGCACACTTTTAAAGAATTTACCTAGACAGTTTTGCCTAGAGTGGTTAAATTGGGATACAATGTCATATAAATTATGGCAATATAAGAACATGCCTATTATGGAAGCTTTGGATACCATGTTACTAATTTCTTTGCTGTTAGTAGTAGATTTGGTAGTCCTGATGACTTAAAGGAGTTGATTGACACTGCACATTCTCATGGAATTACTGTTTTAATGGATTTGGTTCATAGCCATGCATCTAGTAATGTTTTAGATGGTATCAATGAATGGGATGGCACTGAATACTAATATTTCCATGCTGGTGGTAAGGGTAAACATGAGTTATGGGATTCTAAATTATTTGATTATTCTAAATGGGAAGTGATAAGATTTCTATTATCAAATTTATCATGGTGGATGAATGAATATCAATTTGATGGATTTAGATTCGATGGTGTCACATCTATGTTGTATGTTCATCATGGAAATGGTTATGGTTTTACGGGAGGATATCATGAGTACTTTAATGAATTAGCTGATATCGATTCATTAGTATATTTGATGTTGGCAAACGATCTCATACATGAAATTCATCCTAATTCAATTACTATAGCTGAAGATGTTTCTGGTTATCCAACATTATGTCGTAATATTAAAGAGGGAGGAATTGGATTTGATTATAGAATGGCAATGGCTGTACCTGATAAATGGATTAAATTACTTAAGGAATATAAAGATGATGATTGGGATATGGGGGATATCACTCATACACTGACTAATAGACGTCATTTAGAAAAATGCATTTGCTATGCTGAATCTCATGATTAAGCATTAGTGGGAGATAAGACTCTCTCTATGTGGCTCTTTGATAAGGAGATTTATAGTGAAATGAGTACACTTTAGCCCGAAACCTTAGTCACTTTTAGAGGCATGGCTTTACATAAGATGTTGAGATTGATTACATTTGCATTAGGTGGGGAAGGATACTTAAATTTTATGGGAAATGAGTTTGGACATCCTGAATGGATTGATTTTCCAAGAGAAGGTAATGGATGGAGTTATTAACATGCAAGAAGAAGATGGGATTTAGCTGATGATTAATTATTAAGGTATTCCAGACTCTTATAATTTGATACTGAAATGATTAACCTTGAAGAAAAATATCCCTGGTTACCTACTGGTGATCAATGGGTTACTGAAAAACATAATGAAACAAAAGTTATTATATTTGAAAGAGGATCTCTTCTATTCGTATTTAATTTCCATCCTACCTAGGTATTTTTGTTTTAATTATTATTATTTAATAGTCATATGAACATTTTAAGGTTGGTACTAAATTTGAATCAGATCACAAAATCGTTTTAGATACAGATGATATGAGATTTGGAGGACATTCAAGAGTATCACCATCTTATGATCAGAATTTCCCAATTATAAAGGAAGAATGGCAAGGTAGACCTAATCATATCTAAATCTATTTACCTAATAGATGCGCTATCGTTTTTAAACCAATTGAGTGATTTTTTGTTTTAAAAAGACATACATATAACGATTAATTTAATTTTAAAATGTATTCACTATAGAAATTAGTGCCAAATAGTAAATTACAAATTAAGCCTGGAGCATTCTCTCAACATCAAAAATTAAATTAAAGTGTCGATGGTGTATTGCCTGTAAATTAATAATCTTTACAGCAACTACAAACATAGATATAAATATTAACAAAAAAAGAACCTCTACGTCAATAAAATAAGAAATAAGAATTACTATAGATATTAGAGAATGCCTAAGCAAACTAAAAATAAACTAAATCAATGTCACCTAAAAGAACACCTTAGAAATAGAAGAGTAACAGAAAATTGAATTTTAATTAAATCACAGATCAGGATAATCTGTTTTTGAATTCCAGTAATGCTATGGCCAATATGATTATTGAAAACATCTTAAATAAAGATGAATATTATGAGAAAATTAAATTAGAGAATTAAGAACTCAAAGATTAATCCTCAAAATATTAAGCCACAATAGGAGATCTTAAAAAGAAAATAACTACATTAGAACGTTAGAATAAAGAAATCAATACTAATTTAAGCAATGAACGTCAAACCTATTAAAATGAGCTTATTAAAATCAATGAGAAGATTCAATCCATGAAAACTATGCAGTAAAACTTATAAATGGAATAAAAGAAAAATGAATTACTCACAAAATAATTATAAGATCAAATAACTATTAATAATGGTTTAAAATCCTTTATTTGTGAAAACTGTTTGTTAAGTATAGAATTCTTAACATTTCTCTAAAAGTCAGTATAAACATTTTAACCAAATTTAAGTAATGCTTATGATACTTTAATTGCATTATCAAAACATTCAACATCTTTTATTTTAGAATTTATATCTAAAACTCAGAATTTGAATCTACCTGCATTAAGAAATTGCCTCTTACCAGAAGAATTTGATGTTAATGGATTTTTCGAGATTTTAGAATAATTAAAAATGCATGAATCACCAGAATTATCATTTCGTAATAAAAATAATAATGTTGTAAAATAGAGTATTCATGTAAATAATAATAATAATAATAATAATAATAATAATAATAATAATAATAATAATAATAATAATAATAATAATAATATTAATTTATCCATACCAGATGTAGCAAAATAAAATAAAATTACAAGTTTATAAGAATAATTTAATGCATTTCTTGAATCAAGTGAACCATTTTCAGATTCTTAATTAGGTAGTCCTTATTTCACAGATCTTGATACTCTTGATAAATAAAGACCTTTTACTAAAGAAAAGCAAAGAAATTAAATGCCCTTGTAAATGAATGCTGCAAAAAAGATTAAACAAGAAATTAATTAGACTCCTCATTATTTTTAATCATTTAAATAAAATGATAATGAACCAACAGTCTTTGATTCGTTAATGAAAGAGGCTCCTATTAATAAAGATAGATGTTCTTCAGTTCATAGTTTAAGATATTTGGATTAACAAATTTAAAAAGAGTAAGAGAAATCAACTAAAAGGAATAAAGAAAATTAATAAGTTAATTGTTAATTTGTTATTGCTAAGTATGATTATAAAGCTTAAAAAGTATATAAAATATTTAATAAATTTAATAGGATATTGATTTGACTTTTAAGAAGGGAGATTAAATAAAACTATTAAAAAAGACAACGAATGGATGGTGGTATGGTGAGGATAAAAATTAAGTTAAGGGATACTTTCCACATAATTTCGTTCAATTAGTAGGATGATTGTAGTTAAATAAATTAGTTTTCATTTTTTGATCTTAACTTTCCATAACATATCTATTTAGCAATTTGATTATATCTTAAGTAGATTCTATAACTAAGTTGCTATTCTTTTCAATTTAATCAGAAATAGAGACACAATGAAATTTCTATGTTTAAAATAAAATTTACTTTGTTTAAAGGCATATTTGCAAATTAAAATATTTACATAATTTTTTCTAACCATCCTCTATCAAATGATATGATATTAGCAAATGAAACCAAACCTTTTTGATTTGTTTCATTTATAATGATCATTTTTAGTAATTCTTCTATTTATTAATATTAATGTTTGATCTTAATTGCATAATTCTCTTAAAAAATCAAATAATCATCAAATTCTAATCTAAGTTCTTTAATTAAATTAGAAAGGAAAACATTTGCAGCAGCATTTGTATCTTTAATCTATTCTTTAAGAGATAAAGTATAAATTTAATTTTTTTCTGTTAAGTTTAAATGTTCCAAAAGTGATAATTACTATAATTTTGCTTAAATCTAATCATCTCTCTCTACAATTTATTAAAAAGTAGTTTGATTATTTTATTTTATAAAAAGTCCATCTTAAGCAATCATATACAAATTATTAATAGAACCAAAGTTTAATTCCATAATTTCACAATCTTAATCAGAAACAATAATAAGAGTATTATTTTCATCTTATGCTAATCTTTCAAATGCTTGAACTAATTAATCTAGTTTCTGAATTTTCTGTAAAAATCTATGTGTATAAGCAAGGATTATAATTCTCTAATTATCAAGATAATTATGATTAGCAAATTTAGAAACAATATTAGTTGTTTCAATTGAACAAAAATGTTTATCCTTTAATCCTATAGTTAATTCTTTGGCTGAATCATACAATTATTTATCAAACCAGAAATCTTCACAATAACTTAAATGATCATTCAACCTATGTAACCAATCATCACTACTTGGAACATTAATAAATGTTGGTTTTTAATCAATCAAATAATTCAAGATTGTGTTAGCTGATTCAGAAGCATTATTAGGATTTATTTTTCTATGATCAACTTTTAAAGAACACCATTAACTTAAAACTAATTTTGCAGCCCTCTTCCTATATTATCTAACATAAATATATTCTAAATAATTTGAACAAATGCTTTCTCTTAATGATGTCTTTAAAAAAACATCAGCCTTTCCATATAGACTTACTAATTCACTTTAAGAAAGATCAAGTCTAATTTAAATTAATTCATATTAACAATTTTGATTAATTTATTTTGCTAGATTCATTATTTCATCTAAATATTTGGATATCTAACAATTACTTTAATAATCTTCATCATTATTAGTATATAAAATTTATATTAATTAAATTTTATATTACTTTATTAGATACATCTATTCAATTATTTTAAATTTCTATTATAAACCACTTAAAAGTGATAAACTATCAACTCCAAGTAATATAAATTGTTATTCTTAATTTATCTCATCTATTGTTATTAAGTTTTATAATTATTTTATATTCAAACCAACACTTCCATAATCCAAAATGATTTTTCTACCTAATACTTCTATTGTAAATGCACTCATACCAGAAACTTATGTTAATTTTTGATATTTTTAAGGCAAACAATGCATAAATTAATACAAATCTTTTAATTATATTAATGAGATCAAATCACTCATTAATATAGATGATAATATAGTTTCACTACATGATAAAATTCGAAATTATTTTGGATTTGGAAATGATCTTCTCATTATAGTACATATTCTAGGTCTATTTTCATTCTTTCTAATTAAACCTTCCTTTATATAAATTGGAATCAAATAGAGATGATAGTCAAAAATGAAAATTGAATGCAAATGATTAAATTAATTTTGAAATAGTGTACATTATAATGCTTCTTAAACATATTTTGAAAAGATTTTATTGATTTCCATATAATCATCTTCTGAATGTAATCTTAATTATGGAGTTAAATTATTGAAAACTGGACTTATTAATTATGAAAAACAGCCTAAAATAGTATCATCTAACTAAATTCCAAAGCATTTGTATTATTCATATACATATTATTAGATTAGAATATATTCATTTTCATCTGCAACTTATATTCCAATCCATCCTATCCAAATTGCCTTCAAACTTAATCTGTTACTAAAGAGATTGTACATATTGATATAATAAGGATCTGAAGTTAATTCAAACTTATATTTGTTTATAATATCTAGATATAATTATAATCAACATACCCTTCTTATTTGTCACTTTATAAAATTGATCAATTAAAGTTATTTTTAAAGGTATCTTTAATGACAAACAAATCACATAAGAATCTGTGAAAATTTGAGTAGAAGATGAGCGCTTTCTTTTATAATCAAAAATCAAATCAGAAGATCCATATTATTCTGAAATTTTTTTAAATTTAGATATTGACTTTAATTTTTGTTTACATTCATAATGACTCTAAAATGGATTAAGTTATTATTATACCTTTATTATTTCTCTCCAATCCGTTTCTAATTAACGAATTGAGACTTTTGCAGATCCTCTTTCATCTATTGCTAATTCTGGAATGCTTTCGTTATCAGACTTAATATTTAAAGATTATCATACTGAATCTAAAGCATTATCAAAGGGATCGTAATCTCTTGATCGATTAAGTCTTTAAACTTTCACTAAAAAGCATTTTATACAAATATATACTTAGCTCTTCTTATACAAATTCATTCGAGATTTCATACTTTTAAAATGTTCTAATATTCATTGAGGGTTTATTGAATGTTATATAGAGGAAATTGCGCCTAAAATCACACTTGTGGATTCGATTTGGGATACTCTCCCAAATATAATTATCTCCATCTTGAATTAGACACTTGAATTCTAATCTAAAACCTAAATGCTTAAAACGATTATTAACTTGGATCAATTTGAATTTTGCTTTCGTGGCTCCATTCTGGATAGGTTTCGCTAGAAGTGTATAATGGATATGAATCATGAGGATTCCATTGACCAAGAATTGGATGATTACCACAAATACGAACTATTTGTGAATATCTCGTCTCTGTTATCACCTTAAAACTAATATATGACATCTTAAATTATAAGAAGTATAATTTATTAAATATGTGAAGAATTGGTCTTTCTTTACAATTGCAATCGTGCTAGGTTATTTTTTAAGGATTTCCTTCATTATATCATAGTACTTAAGTGTCATACTAATTTACAATTTAGTATTTTTATGTTGAAGTTAGTTAAACAATCTACAATGCTAAAAAAGTTGAATTGGAAATAGTTAGTTCCTTCCATTGATAATGACTTAAACAACTTATAACAATTAAAATAAACTATATGAAGCATTTATCAATTTTTTGAACATCTTCATATCTCCAACTTTTGAAGAAATTTTGAGTTTTAACCTATGAAAGAGAATTATGAATATAATAAATCAAAAAACCTAAATCAGTTAATAGAGAGCAAGTAATATAAGTAGGATTGGTAAAAAATAGAATAAAATTAGAGTTCACCTGAATAGAAATTACAAATTTTAGATCGAAAATATTAAATTGAAATTTTGAATGAAAATTATTTATCATGTAATAGGTAGAATAGCTATTGAAACATTATTTTATATTAAGGATGAGAAATCAATTTGAATTATATTGATACTTTATCAGAAATATTGTTTAAGAGATAACTTTTGTTAAACATAAGAGATTTTTATAATTAAAACTTTATTTCATGTCCTATAAAATATAATAATGAATTATTTAAAATAAAGAAGAACATCATTAAACATAAAAATAATTTGTAGATTAATGTTAGTTACTTAATTTTTAAACTATAACAAGAGATATCTAAGAAATATAATTATGATGGTTGTTGATTTTATATATTTTGTGATAAAAATCACTTAGATTATCATTATTCTCCTTCTTCTTCAAATTCTCCTTCTTCTTCAGCAGTGGCATCTTGATATTATTGATATTCAGAGACTAAGTCGTTCATGTTAGATTCAGCTTCAGTGAATTCCATTTCGTCCATACCTAGAATAGATTAAAATTAAGTAGATACCTTCACCAGTGTACCAATGTAAGAAGGCCTTTCTTCTAAACATGGCTGTGAATTATTCAGCAACTCTCTTGAACATTTCTTAGATAGCAGTTGAGTTACCAACAAAGGTAACAGCCATCTTCAAACCCTTTGGTGGGATATCACAGATGGATGATTTAATGTTGTTGGGAATCCATTCAACGAAATAAGATGAGTTCTTATTTTAAACATTAAGCATTTATTCGTCGACTTCTTTGGTTGACATTCTTCCTCTGAAGAGAGCAGATGCTGTTAAATATCTTCCGTGTCTTGGATCAGCAGCACACATCATGTTCTTGGCATCGAACATTTATTATGTCAATTCTGGGACTGTAAGAGCTCTGTATTATTATGATCCTCTTGATGTGAGTGGGGCAAAACCAATCATGAAGAAATGGAGTCTTGGGAATGGAATCAAGTTAACAGCCAATTTTCTCAAGTCAGAGTTCAATTGACCTGGGAATCTAAGACAGCATGTAACTCCTGACATAGCAGCTGAGACCAAGTGATTCAAATCACCATAGGTTGGGGTTGTCAATTTCAATGTTCTGAAACAAATATCATATAAGGCTTCGTTATCAATGACCATGCATTCATCAGCATTCTCGACCAATTAATGGACTGAAAGGGTGGCGTTGTATGGTTCAACGACTGTGTCAGACACTTTTGGTGATGGCACAACTGAGAA